AAATCAGTGAAGCAGAATCAATGTTTGTTTTTCTGTATGTGCTCTATAAAACATCCACAAATGAGTGAAATCATCACCAAAATCCGACAAATATCCAATGTGATGTCTGAAAAAGTGCCTATTTTGTCAGAACAAGCCCTCAAAAACCCAAGAATCTAACCACACTGAAACCTAAAGAGAGGAAGAAAAGCATCAACCGGTGCCATTACAGAAGCAGGAAGCAGAAATGTTTTGTTATTTCTGTTTGATGAATGACTCAGCAACAATTTGGTGAGTTTGTCCTTCCTTTTGATCCATCAACAAGGGTATATATATGTAGTCACCGGTGCCAGCTGACTGCTTGCTGGTGGGAAAGCTGTAGACCCCCCCCCCCTGCAGGTGGGAGGCACATACTGACAGATCGCTCCCTTGTGGAGTCAGGAGCACTTATTACCCACCCACCTACTGCTGATGCCAATCTACTGCAATTGAATCACTAATAAGCACTTAAGTCCAGCGTTGAGTACAACATCCACATCCACTCCTCAGTGTTAACAATCAGTAGACCTCATGTGGCGGCTCTCTGGGGGCCATGGCAACCGGCTAAGCGAGGATCAGAGAGAAATGGGTGGAGGGCCGAAGACGGAGGCGGAGAAGGACAACAGGCTGTCGGGGGGGAAAGATGGGAGTGTATTCACGTGTATATGCTGCAGATATGTGTGTGTGTGTGTGTGTGTGTGTGTGTGTGTGTGTGTGTGTGTGTGTGTGTGTGTGTGTGTGTGTGTGTGTGTGTTATTGTTGGAGTAATCAAGCATGTTACATTATCTCTCGTACCATGCAGCGCTCAATAAGGCGAGTTCACCGAGCAAATGTCAAATGTGAAGCAAACAGTTTAAAGCTCCCTTCACAAGGTTATTTTTTTCTTGTATGTGTATGTGTGTGTGTGTGTGTGTGTGTGTGTGTTACCTGTGGGGTCTTTAAACACAGCCTTGGCGTCAGCATGCGTGTGGATGATGCTCTTCAGGAGCACGGCCATGTTGGGCACTTTGTTTCTTGCCAGCTGTTTCAGCACAGCCTGCGTCAGTGAGGGAAAATAAAAAACATCATCCATGAATACAAGTCTTCTCTAACACAGCGTAAATGTTCATTTTGAAATCATGTGCGTTTTAAAAAAGGTGAGGATATTTCTCGTTGAGATGAAAACTGTCTCAGGACATGGGTAAATAAACGCAGATCAAAATATGAGTTATCGTCTTACCGTGTGACCTCTATCTACCAGGGATGAACAGAATGGCTACCAGGGCAATCTTTACATCTTGAAATCCCTCCTCAATATCACCAATGCTGTTTTGTCTTTGTTGAATGTTCAAGTTTTTACATTTCTGTTTGTTTTTTGGCATTTTCGCCTTAATTGGAACAGTTATACAGTGAAGTTTTGGACAGGAAAAAAATAAAAAACGCAGCTGCCTCTGAAAGCAAGTTTGTTAGGAATCCATAACTTTAGCCAAATAAATCACATATCATACTATTTTTTTTTTTTTTTTTTAATCCTGAGCTCACTTTCTGTGGTTAAATACTTGTGTTGGGGGGTGGTGAGGGTGTCAACTTGTTCAGTACTTTAAACAGGGATGGTGTGGTTAAGCTGAGGTCCATGTGTTGGATAAAGAGCTCAGCCAGAGTCCTGCCAGTTATTGAATGATTAAAATATGACATTTTAAAGAGCTTGCAATGACTGCCAGTAAAAAAAAAAAAAAGGAAAAAGGAAGCATTATTCCGTAGATGTGTCTGCGTTTAAGAGCAGAACCACAGCAGAGTCTCCATTAGTTTGATTGATGAGTGACCGTACCCTTTATAATTACAAAACACCTCTAATACAGCTCCTTCATTTGTCCTGATTATACCAACAGACCTCCTGCAGTGACACACACTGGCTGTTATGATGTAGGAGAAATAAGAAGAAGAAGAAGAAGAAGAAAGCTTGGACCTAAAGAAAAAAAAAAGAAAAAAAGAAAACATGTGTTGATAATGACCTTTCGTAGCACCATGACAACGCTGTACGAGTGCAGGAAGCACAAAGGGTTCCTCTCATCCAATCCCGTCTCGGCCTTCATGGATGCCCAGGCGCCGCCGCTGAAGTCGTCTTCCTCAGTCTGCGAGCTGGAGCCCTTTAAATCAAAATCCAAACGTGCTAAATGGACAATGCGTGTTGTTTTGCTCATATGAAAAGACGCGATCCTCACCATGCGCCATCAGTAGATCAGATAGCACACTTTTTTTTGAGGGTGGTATCAAGTTTGCGCACGTTTTAAGACACGCAAACCTTTAGCAAATCAGGCCCTTAGTGTAGTAAAGGTGGCTTACTTAAATCATCCGCCAACTTCCTCCTTTATTTTTGATGTATCGACTTGTTTCCAATGTTTCCTTCGACGGCTCAAAGAAAAGTTTCTCTGTGGTTAAAAACATTGGGCATAATGTAAGTGGGCTCATATTCTAAGAAAAGGTGTAAATGTTTTAGAAATATTCATCCAGACATATCAAATTTCACACCTATTATGACATCACACAATAACATCAGGTTTATGTTTTTTTTTTTAATACAGATGTTTCACTGTGGCACATCTGCAACCAGATTGTGTGGACATTCACTGTGGCACTGCGGGCTGGATCACTTCCCTTTTTGGTTTCAAAATAAAACAGCCATTTAATCAGTTATGTCCAAAGTCCAACAGCATGCTACAGTTACTGCATATTAGAGTATTTCTATGAGCTGCTGTAGGAAAACCTAAAGTGAAGTCCTGTCAACTGCAGACCGAACATTTATAAGTACTCTCCTCAGTATCACATACAGAAAACAAGGAAAGCGCTCCAAATTGTATGTTTGGTCATTTATTGATTCTCTTGTCATAATAAGTTGAGAAAAACATCCATTCCGTGAACGCACAAATCGATCCAGGTTCTGTGCTGCTTCTTTTTTTTTTTTTAACCCTCCTAAGTGTGCGGAGAAGAGGAGCCGTTCCCAGCATGCAGAGGATGAGATCATGCTGCTGTTACTCCTCGTTCACTTTGATATTCAATCTTTCTCTTGTTTTAGAAGGTGAAAAAAAAAAAATTTGTCAAACTTGAAAGGAATTTCCCAGGAGAAATGGAAGGAAACATTACTGGGAGTGTTCGATTAAGAGCTGACTGCAGCAGCTTTGAGCTGGACTTTTCCCCCCCCACTGGGCTCTGCAGAGGTGCTGAGCGCAGCATTTCAAACAGGACGTTACGTTCCAATTATTCAATAAACTGATCAGTAAATTGGCAGAAATTATTCTATTTATCTTATTGATTTTTTGTTCAGAAGTTTTTTAGTAAAAATGAGAAGAAAGAAAAATTCAAGGTTGTAGCTTCTCTAGTGAGGATATTTATTTTGTTTTAATCTTCTATGACATAGAATTGGACATTTGGATTCTGGAGTGTTGTGCAGACGAAACAAGACGATTGTTAATTTTTTCTCCACTTTCTGACATGTTGATGCACCAATCAGTGGCATTAATCGTAAAAAAAAAATGTCTGACACATAATTCAATTATGTTATAAATCATCAGTGCAGCTTTAGATGACATCATTTTTTTCAGTTTATGATTTTCACATTTAAAAATTAAGCAGGCTATCATGGGATTTTTTTTTTTTTTTTTTTGCAGATCTCTGTCTCTTGTGATTGAATTACCTGGCTTGGTAACCGTGCAGCAGCACCGTGAGCGGGAGTCACAGGAACAGAAACCACTATTTCATCCATGCTCTGGCCCTGTGGCTGAAAGAGAAGAATTCAATTATTACTGTGCGCCACTGTGGGAAAAACAAGCTCATAACTGGTAGATTCCATTGACAGTCATTTCGTTACCCGCACAGCAGCAGCGTTAAGAGACCAAAAGAGACGTTAAAGAGACGCAGCAACAAACAGAAGGGGAGGAGGGGGGGAGTTTTAGTGCTGGATTAAACTAACCTGCTGTGGCAGGAGTCCAGCGGGGCCGGGGAAGCGCCGGGTCCTGGGTCTGTGAGGGTCAGAGCGAGGCCTCTTCTTGGGAAGCTTATTGGATGCAGATACCAGCTGGACCAGACGGTTGGTGAGGACCGGCGTGTGATGGGGATGAAGGGGCAGAGAGGAGGAGGAGGAGGAGTTGGAGGGAGAGGGCGCCGGAGTGACTGTTTCAAAGAGGCCACGTGCCTGAGGAGAGGTTCCTGGAGTCGCCCATTGTCTCTGTGGCTGGTGGGGCTTGATGAGTGTCCTGGAAATGGGGCTGGGGACTGGAGTCCGCGGAGGGGCTGACGTGGAAGGAGCGCAATTTCGGTTTGGTGGTCGAAATTGAGGAGTGGAGGGACTCTGAGGACGTACGTTATGATTAGATGCTAATCGACTCCGGTGGGTTGCGTTGAGCTCTCTCAGACTCAAATGCGTTGGTGTGCTGATCCTCCCACAAGTTGGGGGACGCAGCGCTTTGGCTGGAGATGCGGCATCAGCTGAGGGCGCACGTATTGCTTGAGCAGAAGGTTGAAGCGGCTGCCCAATCTGACCGTCAAACCCATCCAAGTCTGCCAGGTCGACATCCCAGTCGTCGAAGTCATCCTGAGCCCCTCCGGGCGTCAGTGGGTGACCAACATTAGCGTTACTCTTTTTCGTAGCCAAATCAGGCGCAGAGTTATCGACTGACGAAGGAGGGAGGGATCGGGTCTGATTGGAGGAAGAGGACGAGGATGAGGAGAGCTGCCTCAACCCCGGAGCAACAGTTTGTCCGGCAGCTGTGTGCGTGCCGCTCTTGGATGCTGCGCTGTCACACAGAGCAGCTGATCTCTCTCCCGGCTGCCGAGGGCCATTTTCCCCCGGCTCTCTGCGAGAAACAGAGGAAGACCGCAGAGCACATGATGATACAGCAGCTGCCACATCGGCTGGTCCAGACTCTGAGTGGACAGCCCAGTCTGTCCCCAACAGGTCCTGAGACACACACACACACACAAACACACACACAAACAGTGTAAGTGAGGATTAGCAGAAGATGGATGACTGTGACAGAATGTTAACAGGCAGAAAGTTCAGTATTAATTGAATCCAGGTGTGTGTGTGTGAGAGAGAGAGAGAGAGAGAGAGAGAGAGCTGGGACTCACCTCATCGTCAAAATCATCTCCGATGCTGAACAGGCTACTTAACTTGCAAGCCTGCAACACAGGTAACAGCAGCACACCAATCAAAAAGTCTGTACAGTTTGCACTACAAGCTATTAAACAAGTCATACTAGAATGTGTTACAAGGGTGAAGAGAGGACGCTAGCTCCGTAAGCTAGATTTGATTTGGCTCACTTACCATTGAAGTCAGAAGATTTCGCTTTGACAGTCGTATTTGATCAGGTACACTCACTTTGATAAGACGTCAAATGCCAATTCAATGACGGCCTTGTTTCATATTTCTACGATTCTTTCGCAACTAAACGCTGCTGTGGTTGTGAAAGTAAAAAAAAAAACTTGGGTTTGCTACACACTGCTGCTATGCTTGGTATCGCGCCGCCACGTTCAAAACACGACGTAATGACGTAGTTTTTACAAAGAGTGTTTGAGAAGAACAAGAGCGTTCCCTTCTTGCGTAAATCCGCAGCGGTCCAACATCGTATTGACCGTGTTTAAAAACGTGTCACTGCGTTTGAGAGGTAGGCCTAGCTAACGCTGAGTAACAGCTGACTTAAAGAAAGGGGCGTCATTAAAGAGGTCACAATATTCAATGTGTGTAATGTGACGTAAATGCTCTCACTGAAACGCATAGAAAAGAGAGGACAGACAATCAGCATATGGCTGGGAAGTCCAAAGTCCACTGTTAAAGCCAAATCTTAACTTCAAATTAAAAAAGAACACGGGCATTTATGTAAACTGGCTTCCAAAACCAGTCAATAAAAGTACTTTTCCTCTCCAGTAGATTAGGAAGGAGCCGGATGTTGCCTATCTTGACATGTCTATCTACTTTGTTTTGAGGGCCGTTTCGTGGACGAGGATGCTGGATCAATACTGCCGTTTGCTGGCCATTTGGGGTACTGCAAGTATCAGCTTGCATCCTGATCTATTAATACCTACAGTTGTGCTGAAGTTGTGTTCGAGCAACAATCGTGTGACTGTGTCCACAAATGAAGGGCATTTAATTCGGAGCTCTGTTTGTGATATTTAACATGAAAAGAAAGCAAAACTGGTTAAAAAAAAAATAATGAGAGTTTTTGCTTGACCTCTGCCAGGACCCCTGTGACTCCATGAGGGTGAGTTGAAGCTGAAGGCTGATCTTTCTCTCAACAGAACAGCCCTAGTGCTATAGAGAAAAGTCCCTGCTGCTTTACTGCATGACAAACAGATTCAACTTACAGCTTGCATAAAACAAGAAAACGGCCTAACATACCTTCTACTGTGATTTGTAGGTGCATCTTGTCATATTCAAAGTATCATGTCAAAGGACACATTTCCGTTCTCTTCCACCTCACTGCGCTCTCTGAGACTGGAACAGGAGTTTCAGGAGTGGGAGGATGCTCGGCGATCATTGGCTCACAGGAGAACCATGACCAGGGCCCCGCTGCCCCGAGCCCCAAGGCCTCCAACGAGGCAGCAAGGGCAGCGTCTTCAGGAGGTCCGGGCCCCTCCACCACAGGTCCGGTGCAGGGACACTGCGATCCACAATACTTTCATGTGTGGGGATATGAAGGGAGTGTATGCGGTGCTGAAGGACCCTGGGATGGTCAATGCCCTGATGGAAACAGTACATGAGGAGATGATATGGGCTCCAGAGATGGGTATGATTTCTAAACATCTGTCTGATGAACTTAACATTAATGAAAACTTGACAGCCTTTCTGTTCCCCCGCCAGGCATGTGGACGCTGAGCTCCAAGGTGAAACAAACTTCAGCACTACGACTGGCTTCCAGCAGAGGGCACACAGGATGTGTGGAAGAGCTGCTGTTCAGAGAGGCTGAGGTGAATGCAGACCCTGGAGGAAGCACAGCTCTCCACGATGCCTGCGCAGGCGGCCATACTGTCTGTGTCCAGTTGCTGCTTGGCCACGGAGCAGATCCTGAAAAGCTGTCTGTAGACGGCAGTGCTCCTCTTCACCTCTGCACCTCTGCCCAGTCATTCCAGTGAGTGACACAACCATTTGTACTTTGAACTTGTGCCATATGTTCTCGGATTCTTCTATTGTTATTATAAAAGTCTTATTAGAAAACATTATAAGAAGACAAAAAGCGAGTAAAGAATGTAAGGGAATTATCTTTTTTTTTATTATCAAAATAGCTTGAACTTCAATGGATGTTAGAGGTAAAAGACTCACTTGAAATTTAATTTGTTTAAAATGACTGTAGTGGCAGCTCAAATTGCTTCATACTGTAGAGCAGGATAAAATGAGCACGCACACAAAAAAATTTGAAAATAGCCAACAATTTTTTTTTAATTGTGATAGACCTTACACATAAACAATGAAATGTTGAAAATGTCATCCACAGAAAAAAATAACAAGAGGGATAAAGGAACATTACGAAAACCACGGGTTAGGACTTAGGACTCATGCAAACTTTGGAAACAAATGACAAGGAACTTAAATTCAAGCCAGCCAAAGACGCAGAGTCCCATAAATCCTAAAGCACACTTTTAGAGAGATTATGGGTCTCCCATGCATTTCTGCTGTAATCCTTGAGATGACTAAGTGGGCAGCTGCTGAAAAAAGCAGGTCTAAGAGAAAGGATGCCATGCCATGCCATGTAGTGTTTTAAAAACGAGTAAGAGTATGTTCAAATGTATATTATAAACTGCTGTAATACAATGAGTTGGTAAAAAAAAAAAAGAGTTCTGAGAGGTCTTTGTGAGGTTCTAGTCTGTCGACGAGCTTCAATAAGAGCATTAAATGATCTAGGGAAAAAAAGTTAAAGTCACCCCAAGGTAATAGTCCTGCATCTTAATATTATTAAAGATTACTATCTTAATAATTTGGCCATAAATATTAAGATGTAGGAACTTATGTTGCATCCATATATTAATGTCTTGTAAACATTGCACTATCGTATCAGTGAGGCTAAAATAAGCAGATCTTTTCAAACAAATTGCATGCTTTCTACGTAAATGACAAAGTGAAACATATAGACTTAAAATGAAATGAACCTAAATTAGATTCTTGATGATGTCGATGCTGGTGCACTGTGTGAACACCATGCGAACCTTCTGTTCAGGTGTGCTGCGTTGCTGTTGAAAGGAGGCGCAGATGTCAACGTGAGGATGAGGGAGTCGAGGCTCACGCCGCTGCACACAGCTGCTCGGCGAGCCCTGGAGGAGCACGTGGAGCTCTTCCTCAGCCACGGAGCCGATATATTGGCCACAAACCAGGAGGGGGAGACCCCTTTGAACGCTGCGTGTTCAGGCGCTGAGAGGCCCTCGGAGGCAGGCCGTTATTTGCGTGTGATTCAAAGCCTGTTGGGTGCAGGAGCTGACCCCAGAACTGCAGGCAGGAAGCAGCACACACCCTTGCACAATGCCTGTGCTAACTGCTGCCCTCGGATTGTAGACATCCTCCTGCAGCATGGAGCCAAGGCAGATGTGACCAACTGTGCAGGATACACGCCAATGGACTGTCTGTTACAGGTAGGCTCATAAAGGCTGGGTGCATTTCAGTAGAGTTACTTAGAGCTACTTTAATCAGCAAAGTTTAAAATCTAAAAGGCACTGATACATTAAAGATGTTTTTTTTTTAACTAAGGCAATGTAGTAAACATAACTGTTTCTGGTTTAAGGTGGTTGAAGATTACCCTGATCAGCAACCGGAAGCAATAGCACGGTCACTCCTGAACCATGGAGCGAAGCCAGTTTTACCAAAGGTATGTTGAAACCTGAACCTGAACCAAATTAAAAGAATTAGATTTACGGTTCTCTAATGCAAACCTGACCCTGAGGTGATCAGTCAGTGTCTTACCTCAACCTGAACCCAAGTTCATTCCACATACAGCACTTAGCTGTCTCTCACGAACATTCAACGTAAGCAGTGCTCCTGAGCGTAGTGAGACGTGCTTTTGGGAAAGACCATCAAAATGGAAAGTTAACTTGGTTGAGTTTTTAGAGAGATGTGGGCTTTTGGTCATGAATTAAAAATGTGAAATAATAACATCATTGCAGTATAGCTTTGAAGACCAAGCAACAAATCAGATAATCCCTTACACTATGCACAACACAATTTTTAGATTTTATATTTGAACTAAGTACACAAATGAAGATCTGAAAAGTAAATAATTAAATAATTAACTGGTATGTAAACAAAAAATTGGAAGGAAAGTAAAATATGATATTATGCAATGAAGTTAAGACCAAATTACAAAGTAATATGTCAGTTTAAGGCAAGCGGTCTCATGTAACACATCATCTGTAGTCAGTGTTTTCATTAAGAAGACAACATTTATACATATATAACATAACATTTAAATAGTGAAAATATGGTTTGAAGAAAACGTCATTTTGATAACTAGACAATTATAAGATGCAATTTTTATTAGAGTCTGACACATATGGATACATCGATAAAATCTCTCCTCTTTACTTATTCAATATAGCTCAGCTGTGTTTTTTCATTTATTTTAAGAAGAATTTCTTCTCTCCAGATGTTGAAGCAGTGTGTCCTCTCTCCTGCCACTCTGGAGGTGATGTTGAACTCATATACATCCATCCCTCCCTGTGATTGGATGGACTGTCTGAGTGCTGATATATACGAGGTGAATTATCTCTGTTTTGTTACATTTCTTCCCTATAACTCTTTATCTACATTCCAGTGCTTTAGTATCTGTTTGTCCTTTCCCCTGTCTCAGGAGCGTCGCTCTTTCTTCGACTTGGTGCGCCAGCGGAGCACTCTGCCACGCTCTCTGCAGCATCTCTGTAGATGTGCTTTGCGTCTGTGGCTCGGATCTCGGTGTTATTCAGCTGTCAGTAAACTGGAAATTCCCAGCTCTTTAAGGGATTACCTGCTGCTGTGTAACGATGGGACACTTCAGTGACTTATCTTTTTTTTTTTATCAGTTTAGTTCTTCTTTAAATTTAGATCTACTTTTGATTGCAATAAAATGTTGTTTCTTCTGATATTTCTAACTTGAGCTTCACTCATGTTAGCTTTTTTCAAACAGAAAAACCATGATGTCGTTGAGTAAGATATAATATTTCAAACACAATATTAACGAAATGATAGGCCTACCTAGTTACAATATTAAATACATGCTTACACACGGGCGGCTGTGGCTGAATGGGATTAGTTACTTCTGATGGATGATACTACATAGCTACATGATCACTACCATCAGTGTGTGAAAGGGTGTGAAAGGGTGGGTGTGACATGCAGTGTAAAAGTGCTGTTTATAAGCTCAAGTCCATTCCATTTACCATTTAACCCTGAATTGCTCCCTCTGCTTCGGTGGCGGTGTATGAATGGTATTAGTTACTTCTGATGGATGATACTACATAACGACCACTACGATCAGTGTGTGAAAAGGTGTGAATGGGTGGGTGCTTTGAGTAGTCGGAAGACTAGAAAAGCGCTATATAAGCCATTTACCATTTACCTTAGTATAAATATTTCACTATCTATAATAAAACACCAAAAGGGCCCACTAGGAGTCCTTTTTAAAATGTAATACCTTAAGTTAACTTCTCTGTAATTATTATTTTAGCTATATAAGTAAAAAATACTATATATAGCCTATAATGTAGAACTCCGTAAAATTGACCTAATGAATACAATCTGTGCACTTTATAAATTTCCTTTGTCTTAAATCACCAGACTTCAAAATGCACACATAAATCTGCCACACCATTATTATCCTGAATGTGGAATTCAACTGGTGTGAATGATCATAATAATATGAGGTCGCAACAGGCGTGACCCATTTTCCAAAACAAACGCCCCCGACTGGCTCCGTAAATACGTGATGACGTCACACCGCCTCAACGCCTCTGTGTTTATCATGTTGAAGAAGCAGCAGCTGCTAACTAGCCAGCACTGAGAGCCTCGTCTTCAAACATGCTCTGAATTCATAGCTGGCAGGTAAGCTCATTTCATATCTGCACGTTGAAATACACGCATGTATGTTCCCACGACGTCCAGTTTTCGCCCTGGAAACTGTTGGAAGACAAAACAAATGGGAGCAGCCAGATTTGCAAAACGCCGAAGGTCGTTATTCGGCTAGCAAAGTAGGCTAGCATTCAAAAAGCTAACTTCAGCTCATTAACTAGCGACACCAGCATAAACTGCACCTCAACAAGTTGGCAGGGCGGAAGGTTTTGGTTGTGCGTTTTGAACGTTTTGTCTGAAAGGGCTAAAGTCAAGTGTAACTACTAACGTGGCAGGAGGGGAACCTTGTTTTGATCAGCTGGATGTTTGAACATAGCTTGCTCTCAGCTACAAGAAACAGCTGTTGACCAGCCCTTAAAGCTGCTGCGTGTCTTTATGTTAAGTAACACAGCCTACATAATGCTAATGCACTTTCCACATTGTTGTTTCTCTTAAAAAAGAGACAGTATTGCTCTCATTAAACTTGATAATCTATCTCCAGCCGGTTTCTGACTCTCCGTTTTAAAGTATTTATTGTGTGAGGAGACGCGTAAGGATCCAAATGTTGTGTAAACTCCAGTCAGTGTCTTGTGTAAGGTAGCCTTTGGCTTAAACATGCAAAGGCTTAGTCCACCCTACCAGAATAGAACCTATATCATGATGCATGGCCAGAGCTGCTTTTTTGTATCATTGTAGTGGTTTCATGGTGGTTTCATTGTGTTATCAGGTGTATATATAATTTGTGTTGTTCTTACTCTCTCATGTATGTGGATAAGTGAATTATAGAATATAATTTCTTTAAAAGATGCTTTAAAAAAAAAAAAAAAAACAGGACCCAGAGTTTCACAATAATAGTGAATGAACTGTGTGTCTTTTAAAAAAAATAGATAATGAATTGACATGAAATATAAACCCTACTGGTTCAATAAATGGTGGATCACAATTGATTCAGCAAAAAATGCCTCGTCCAGCTTCTTGATTTTTTTTTTAAAATAATTGACACATTGGTCGTCTTATTAAATAAAAAAAAAAAAAAAATACATCTGGGTTTGGAGAATAAGTTGGACAAAACGGGAGACTTCGGGTCTTGAACTGATGCTTTTACAGTATTGAAGGTCCGAATGGATGAATATAGTAATTTTAAGAAGTCGTTGTAATTTTACTTTGTCCTGACGTTGTGTAGGTAGTAGTGAGATAAATATGATTACACGATGTTGAAATTAATTATACGTTGCAGCCTAATATTCCTGGCAATTCAATTGTGAAGCTGTAATATGAATGTCTGTTGTGGTAGATCCTTGTTGATTTGAAGCTGTAATTATAGTAAAAAAAAAATATGGCATGATTAACAACATTGCCTACAACGGCTTAATTATAGGACCGATAATAAAGGTGAAGACTGCACACACATTCCACTTTCTTGGTCACATTGTTTAGCGGATGTGTTTTTTTGTTGTGTCATGTAACTTGTGTCTGCAGGTTTGCTGAACAGAGATGGCAGTGTGTGCACTGACCATGTTGGATGGGATGGAGGGTGAGGTGACCGCCGCAGGGGGAGTGTTGCTCCTGGTCCTGGCCCTTGTATTCGCTTGGCTCTCGACACATGTGGCCGACCGGGGAGATCACATACTGGGCACCATCCTCACCGTGGGCGCCCATGCCTCTCTGATCAGACTGGGAGGCCCCGACAGCTACAGTGGGGGGTCCCCCAGCGCTGACACCTCGGAACAGCAGACTCCTTCCCCCTCGCAGGAAAACAAGCCCGACGACAGTGAACAAGGGACGGAGAGAGGAGAGGGTGAGGGAACAGGGGAGGGAGCCGACGGGGTCAGGACAGATCTGCTGCTGGACATACAGAGCAAACAACCACAGGCCGGAAGGCTGCAGGCTTCAGATGAGGAGGATGATGAAGTGGAGGATGAGGAGGAGGACGAGGAGCTGGAGGAGGAGGATAAAAAGATATTGATGCATTTCCCAGTGTTGTCCAGCACCATCACCCCCACCACTACTGCTACTACACCACTCATCTCTGTTCGCCTTAAGTTTTTAAATGATACGGAGGAGGTAGCTGTTGTAGAACCACAGGATACAGTGGGCGTACTGAAAAGGTTGGTCATATAAAAGCATGTTCATTAAAAGGAAAACAAGTTGTACTTTTTAAGGACATGTGCATGCTTGCTTCCTTGCAGAGTGGGATGAAAAGATGGATACGATTCTCATGAATGCATGGAAGGAGTTTAGATAGTTAAGCTTAGCATTAAGACTGGAAACAGGACCAAACAGCTTGTAACCTTTGGCCGGAGCCTGGCTAGCTCTTTCCCTTTGCTTCCTTTCTTTATGCTAAGCTGAGCAACCATCAGTAGCTTTTTATCTATTAAGACAAGAGATTGGTGTTCATCTTCCAATCTCACTCACTACAGCAGCTACAAAAACATATTTTCCTAAAATGCCTATTCTAATATATCTTTTACCCTCTCTCCGTCTCAGTAAATACTTCTCAGGTCGGGAGCATCAAATTAAACTCATCTACCAAGGCCAATTACTGCAGGATCCCAAGAGGACTCTGTTATCCCTAAACATCGCACACAACAGCGTAATCCACTGCCACATCTCCCAGACCCTGCACGAGCCCTCTCCAGAGGAAGGGGCTCAGTCCGGGGTCGGGTCCGGGGTATCTGGAGGATTCAGGGCTGCCGGAGTGGCCATCAGCACCGGCAGCCTGGTGGTGCCTGTGTTTGTGGTGATTCTGGCTGTGGTATGGTACTTCCGCATCAACTACAGGCAGTTCTTCACTGCCCCAGCGACCATCTCCCTCGTGGGAGTCACTGTGTTCTTCAGCTTTCTGATATTTGGGATGCACAGCCGCTGAAAAAAAATGCAGAGAAGAGGGCACACGCTTATAGCTGAATGTTGAGAGGTTGCGTAAAAATAACTACAGCAGTGGGTTATGTTTGGAGGGACGGACATATTGGACATTTTAAAAGAGATGCTTAGTGCATAGCCACAGCTGATTGGATCCTGCACTGTGTGTGGTGAGTGTGTGGGTGGCTAGGTGAGCCTGTTTGTGCATGCACCAAGATAAAAACAAAACAGATGATTTTACAATATGTGGGGTAAATAATAACCAGCTATAACTAAACCATAGCTTAGCAACTCTACAAAAAAAAACAACATTGTCGTCAGCCCCATGCTTTAAAAAATGTCTCTCTGTCTGCTTTTATTGTTGCTTAAAGATCATGACTCTTTCCTGTTCGTCATTGGTCTCAAAGGCCTCTGTTTCTGTGTTTTAAAAAAAAGATATAATTAACAGGTAATTGCAAGAATCTAATACTGTTTGGAACCACTCACTGTTCTGCGTTCCAGTTTTTCTCTTTTATCGTTACTTTGTGTTCTTTCAATGATTCAAGCTCTATGTTAGCTAACGTGGACTGTACAGCTGCATCAGTGCTAGGCCGTAAAATTCAGATACTTTCGTTGCTGAAAAAATATTGCTTTGTAGAGATAGGCTAATTTCAATAATCACTAGTCAATAAAATAGAGACCTTTGGAGAAGATATTGTAAATATATTGTGTATTTTCTGTAAATAAAATGATAGAATGAATCAGATGAACCTGCATCTGGCACTTAAAGATTTGGAGTGGGGTATGGACCCTCTCCTGATTCTGCTGGACTGCTCTGGCTTCAGTGATGTCTCAAATTAAAGCATTTTAAACCAAAGTGGTTGAAGTGTCTGTTTGGAGTCTCAAGAAGCGAGCCTCTGTGTAGAGGCTTTTGTTTATTAATAAACAAAGATGATGCATGTCCCATCAGTTAAGAAACACTATGTTCACTCATTGACACAAGCACAGAAATGTTCTGCATAAAAAAAAAAGTGTAGAAAATTCACAACACTGGGGTTTATATTGTTGCATTCATACTTGCAAAACAGATACACAAATAGCATCAAGAGAAAATATCAGCTGATTACATGTTCAAGGAAAAATGAATCACATTTATTGAAGTATCACAAAAACAGTTCATTCATCTTTAGTGCACATCACAAGACCTTAGTGGAAAAAGCCGAAGGGGGAAAAAAAGGCCTCAACCCAATTCATTTAAAATCTTAACCATAATTGTATTATAATAAGGCTTTGCCAACCAATCTTGAGAAAAACAACACAATGCAATATACTTTTTGGGAGTGTATGACAACTTTTTAGCAATATATACTGAAATAAAATACTTTACATAGTGAAAACAAACAGATTGATATTTATCAAGGTATTTTATATTTCCTTACTACACATCCCAAAGGATTTAAACATCATGGATTAGAATTTATAAAAAATAGGGCTTCCAAATGAACTGTTGAAAAAATATGTCAATTGCTAAATTTCAACAGATGATCACAATAAAGTGCATTTCTAATGTCATGATTGAAATTCCATTATTTTGCATGTCAAAAAACAATTTCATGGTTTTGTTTCTCATTTTGTAGTCTTATGCTAAGTGTGCTTTACTTCCAGTTTGGATAAAAAAACTATCTTTTATTTTGAAAACACGGAAAAAGGAACTTGCTACAGATCGAATAGTTAATGAAAATAGCTAAAGGACGTGGTTAGAAGTGACATTTTTAACGTCTGTTACTTTTGACTGGTCAACTGGGCTGTCTGGGAGTTTCCTAAAGTGAAGTGAACCATTCAAAGGTGCTGCAGGTTTTTTATTTCCATCACTCTGGCTGCAGGAAGATTTTTTTTTCTGCCAGCCCAAGAGTGAAATAGGGGTGCAGGGGCAGGCTGTCCTGAAAATGTCAAAAGTGCATATGAGACATTTTGATGGACTGATACCTTTTAACCCCTTGTTTTCTCTACTTCCTCATAAATTCATACAGTCCCTAAGTTTTGTGTCAATATTCAAACAAAATGTATCCTTCTAATCAACAACAGTAAGAGTTAACATAGTGTGTTGGTTTATCCAATCAAGAAAAACAAAATGTTTCCTTTGACATCAACTAAACAAAGAAATATGTACAAGTGAAATAGTGCATCCATCCTCTAAAGCATGTGACACATTTCCCAACAGTAACAGACTCCTCAGTGTGAATGACGAGCAGAACTGCAGAACAGATCACATGATCTTTAAAGTGAACAAAACTACACACCACAATGATTGTTCTGACAAAAACAAGACACAAGATTCATGTTTAGTTTTCTGACACACACGTCATTGTATACATTAACTGTACAAGTTTCTCCAAGCCTGCTGGTCAATCAAATATCTAATCATGTACATACATCACGTTAAAGGCGTTGACTAATAAAAGATGAATTATATAGGTGATGTCATTAAGAAAAAAATGAAATATTTTAAACGGCACTCACACTCGAGGAATGTCACATTCTTGGATGCATAGTTTTATGAAAATATATATACATGAACTACACACACACACACACACATACATGCATATACAAACTACACACTGAATGCAAGTCAGCAAAAGAGGCACTCAAACACAACTGTGCAATACAACGCTAGAGTTAAAAAGCCACTGAGTAATGAGAAATCAGGTAAACTTGCGTTGAGTGATGAAATGAAAAGCAGTTTTAGTTTGATGTGCAAACAAATGCAAACTATGTAAATCAAAATGTAAGGTTTTAGGGCAGAAAAACACTCAAAGACCAAAACTAAGCAGCATTTGCAAGTGGGCTAAAAGATTGACCTATCAACCAGACACATAAAATTCACTCAGTGACCCCAACATGGCGCTATAATTAACATTTGGAATTTTCTCTGACAGCTTGGCTCTGATTCAAAATGATTAAGCTCATCAATTTCTCTGCATATTTGCTCCAATGGTTTCATTTAAAAGGTTTTTTTTTTTGTGTGTGTGACAGGCAAAGTAACAGGCCTTACTGCATAACGTCAGTGGATTAACGGTGTCACATCTTTGAATGACAACGGCTCAAGTTCCTGCAGATACTCTGACTGGACTTACTGTTACTTTACAAAAACACGATTGTTTAGGACAGAGGGGTTTATTTAACCTCTTACCTTGTCAAGGAATAAATAAATAAGAACTACTAAATGACGTTTCATTCAATCCTGTTCAAACTTGTACATGTGGTCATGACAGAAGGAACTGAAAAGAAAGGCGTTCAGACAGAACTTAGTTTAAGTCATCGTAGGTACTGGAGATGGAAGGTGCTGGGAGTTTGGGCCTCTTTTTTTTGGTCGGTAAGCTGATATTACTCTGAGAGCTGCTGCTGCTGCTTCCTCCTGTCACATTTCCTACTCCTCCTCCTCCTCCTCCTCCTCCTCCAACACCTCCTACAGCGTTCAAACTGAGAGGTGTCCTCTTCTTTTTCTTGGGCCTCCTCGAATCTGAATGGTTAGTACCTGTGAGAGGGACAAGCAAGTTACCTCTCTTTTACTTTTATACTAAAAAAAAAAATCCATTGTGATGCACTTTTAACTTCCTTACTGGCTTTAGATGAGGCAGAGTCAGCAGGTGAAATATCTGGGGAGTCTTCCCACTGCAGGCGGCTCATCAGGGTCTGTCCATCCGGAATATCGAAACTGTCGCTCTCCACCACGGCCTCTGCATCAGGCAGTGAAGTCCTACAACATGTAACACAGACACAGACAGGTTCTGTTCGACTGGTTGGCACAAAAGTAATATCAATGCCATTTTTACCAAAGCTCTTTATTTGACAAATTCAACCCCCGTCTCATAATCATAATATAGCTGGTGTACTTTTGATTTGAAACTTCTGACACTACTACTGTTCTGTTAGCAGGAAGCTTGTTGATTTGAGCAGTTAGCCACTAATACAATACTAACATCTGTGCCTGCATGAAGACTGCTGCACAGTTTAACAAAGTAAAATGCTGATTTAGTGAACTTCAGTCTTGTGGCTGGTAGCCCATAAAGGATTTTAAGAGAAGCCATGTGTGTAAGGGTTTATAATCTTTCTTATAAATCAATGTCACGGTCAATACACACACTTCAGTTTCTGCAATGAACAAGTGTAATTATCAGTACGATATGCACTGCAAAGTTTTAACACTACAATAATCTAAACTTAAGAGGAAATACATTTGAACATTTCCAAACATTTACTGTGTGATCTTGGGTTGTGATAGAAAGTAACACTTGTGGCTGTTGTAAAATGGACTGCAAAAAAAATAATGCTAAAGCGAGAACAGAGTTTGGTAGTGGTGCTGGTTGAGCTCAGTCGTTAAAGCGGAATCCCCCTGAGCGCAGAGGCTGTAGTCGACGCATCGGTCGCAGGTGTGACTTCCAGCCGCGACCGTATGATGCATACCCCCACTCTCTCCTCGCCACATTTCCTGTCTCGCTTTGGCTCTCCTTTCCAAGAAAGGCAAAATGCCAAAAAAGAGAAAATAATAGTTTTCTTTGAGCTTGGTGTCTCACAAGCTGATGTGGATGTGTTCGGCTAATAACAGGCAACAGAAAAGGTTCTGTAAAGGGAAATGACACTGGTGGCAGTGTGAAAGGTCTACAGCACACTTGGTTTCCCTTCATCTGCAGCGTACTCTTCTCCTGGTAACACATGAGAGCTGGGCCCCCAGTCCTGAACCACAGTGCTCACAACAACACTGGCAGGCAGGATAGTTCTGTCCGATCATAAAACAGTGAACTGGATCAGCAAGCATCGGCACAGCGCTCATTCAAACATGACTTTTGTTAAGTAAACCTGCAGGTGAGGGAGGGGAGGTAGGAAAGGAAGGGGCACAGGGCACACTCACGCGGACGGCCCCAGGAGGAACACCCTGACGGCCCTCCTCTGTTCGTCCGTGTGCTGGGGACACCGCTGAGACCTGGTGGGACACAAGGTGGCATTTTACATCCCCGACTGACGCCCCCCCTTCCCCCCACCCCAACGCCAAAACACTGATACAGCCAGGGAGGGAGGTTGGACGGACACAATCAGTGACCAATCAGAAGGAGCGGCGCAGGAATGAGGAGTTACAGGTTATGGAATGTCACAGGTTGGTCACTGACAGGGTCTCTGCTCAATTAGGATTCTGTTTGGAATTGTTTGATGGTTTTTTGTTTTTTTTTGCATGATTTGCCACTTGTGTACCCCTGAGTTAGTCCCAACATACTGTACATGATCATTTTCAAAGAAATACATTCATGAAACTGATCATGCGTCCACATTACACATGCAACAACGATTTTAAGTTCAGACGACTTCTCGATGAGATTTTGTTTCACAGAAACTGAAGCACATGAAAAAGGTACGAATTAGGAGGCAACTATTAGAGGGCCAAGTGTTACAATACCTGACACCATCCTGTACAATGACAAGATACAAGCACCACGGATGCAGCTACGTTTTTCTCCAACAGCGACGGAGTTTCACCAGTTGTTTATCTATGAGCCGGTGGATTTGAAAGTAATTACCTGGTACACATCTTCTTGGTGTGCTCAGAGATCACCCCACATTGCTGTAGTAAAACAAAAAATAATCAAAATTTTAGGATCAACATCCGCTTGATTAAAAATAGAGATATATAAAAGTGACCGATTATCCTCATTAACAGGTTGCTACAAATCTTCACATGCTTGGCTGCTTTAGCGCAGGATGCTTACTGTCGTTAAAAAGGATCGCACTTCATCGGGACCCAGTGTTTCATAATTGATGCCAGTATTATAGTTGTACTGAAAAGGAAACAAGAACAGTAATCGACACTTTGCGACAACACGAAACAAATCCTAACTGACGTTGTGCTCTTGCATGAAGCGTGAACAAAGGAGGATCTTTCACCTTGTACGGCTCTGACGCGACACCGCTCCCCAGCTCACCTGGGGAAAAAAACAAAAACATAGAAAGTGAGTTCTCTTCTCTACACCACATGCACCCTTGTCACCACCGAAAGAGGCTGAACATCCAATGCTAATGAGCGAATAGAAATGAGTTTGCTTGTCCTAGAAAATGATCATTCTTCATTATGGCCAATCAACCCAATAACAGTTGCCTTTACGCACTGTTTTGCAGGATAACAGTCCCTTGAATTGTCCGTCACAGATGCCAATCAATACTTAAATAAACTCTCTAATATATCATTATAACATGTCATTACCAAGCTAGTCACAAGTTATGCAGCTTTTTGCACGTTAACTTGCACGACGTTCCCAAACGTTTCCTATAAATTAGCAAAATTCCTTCCACTTTTAGTCTCTGTGTATTCAGTGAATATCGCATTGTGACTGACATCTGCAATTCGGGCCCTGTGTTAGCTGATGCTTGTATTACGTTACCCTGTGGTCTGATTAAGACCTCTGATGTCTGAATTCTCCGCTCACCGTTTTTATGTTTCAAAGATTTGGATCGTCTCGGAGAATTTTGATTCTGCACAGATAAAATCATTTCAACCAGATTATCCTCATGATATGTATTAAAACGTATATTAAGTCAAAAAGTAACACCAGTGCAAAAAAATACCTTATCTGACTTCCTCTTCTTTGCTGTGACGTAGAAAGAAAAAAAAAAACATGTTTATCATGCGGAAGTTTCCAAATAGCCTTCTTCAATTATTTCTTTACTTTAACAAATTCTAAAATGCTGACCTTTCTTCTCTGCCCCGTACGACCAGTCGTTATCGTTGAGGTCATCATTGTCTTCCTGGTCGCTCTCTGATTTGCTCATGTTGTTATTGCTGGCTAGCCTGTAAAAAAAAAAAAAAAGTAAAACAAATCATTTTGGTCATCTGATTAGATGTTTATATTCAGTTTTGATTAACACAAGGATTAGTCCTGAATGATCTCTATTGGCTGACCTGCGGTTGGCAATGCGACTGCTGTTGCGGCCCATGCCGAGACACTTCTCCAAATGCGGGGCGAAGCGAGAAGCTGCGATCAACCTTTTGCAGTTCGGGCACTCGCACTCTTTGTTTTTCCACTGATTGTACACTTGACCGAATATGTCCACTCCTGGTTGATCCACTATTTCTGGAAGACAAATATAAAAGGCACACACTAAAAGCAATACCCCCCAATGAAAAACAACAACCAAGAAGACGCTGGACGTTAAGGTTCCTACCAAACTCCTTCAAGCTCTCTTGGTCCGTTTCGTCTAAGAAAAAATAGCCCTGTTTCACGGCACGATGCACCTCAAAACACAGGCCCAAACAGGCATCTTCCACCAGCTCAGAGTAGATGTCATGGACCAAGGCCTACAAAAGTCAACAAAAAAAAATCATTAAAAATACAATAAAATAAAAACAAGATCAGATTAAAGTAAGAATGAGTTCTAAACCTCCAGCTTGGTGTTGTCTGGGCCTGACAGGGGCATATCCTCCATTTTCATTTGAAAGTCTGTGTGGGGAATCTTGGTAGCAGAGTAATGAGATTCTGACCTGAGGATTTGAAACAGAAAAAAAAAAAAAAAACACACTCACAATGAGAGATAGTAAATGTAAATGTCATCAAGTGACCAGTTTAGGAATAAAAAAATAGTTTTAAAAAAGAAATAGCTAGTAACTCGTGTGTCTGTTTAAAAAAAAAAAAACACACATGCAGGTGAAGTCATGTGTCTGATGTTGGTCCTCAAGCTGTTTTTATTTCCTGATATTAAAGAGCAACATATTAAAGAAAAATCAATCAAAACAACGTCGCCAACTTCTTCCTGATAGGAAACAATAGTTAATACGGTAACACTAACACCTGTAATGACAGTAGTTAGTAAACTCAACACTGTTTACCTGCAAGCTTACATTACTTTACAGAGTTAGCATTCGTTAGCTTCTCCTACTAGCTCCTCTATTAAACAGGCCTGTAAGTCGTCTCCAAGGCACATTCAGACAAATTCATTGCATACAATGTAAACGACGTTGTGTTTTTTACATGTCACCCAAAAAATGGGTTTTTCCTCTTACCCGGTCATACCGTAAACTCAGCCTGAACCTGGCAGATTGTCAGAGGGGGGCAACACCATCATGTCTATTTCAGAAAACGTAGATAACATGTCCGGGTTGCTGCTACACCCATCTTCATTATTTAAAAAAAAAAAAAAAATAAAAAGAACCTCGTTGAGCTGTTTATTTGGGCAGGTGTCGGTTAAATTAGCGACACAAAACCCGCCTGACACGGACGAGGCCAAAAAGTGAAGAACCCAACAGAGGAGTACAACAGACGACATTCTGGGTTACCTTCAAAATAAAAGCCCCGAAATACCGTCTCTGTATTTCAGTTTCAAGACCCCTCTCCACATTTTTTTTTTAAATCTTCGCCCTGAATCAGTTTATTTTCTATTTTATTTGCAATTTTTTATAAAATCACCAATAGGGTATTTAAAGTGTTATGCTATTGACATGCAGGTTTTGTTTTACCTCTCATTCTCGTCTCTGTTTATCAGAATCAGAGTCAATTTTACACAGCAGGCCTCCGTTTTAACAGTGAAGGTACTGGCAATTTCTACGTGGCACTGGTGACTCGCCTGATTGGCATCAACTGCAGCGGTGACCTTGATAGGCCAGCAAGCAGTCAACCACAGGTCCAAGCTTTTGGTGGAAAAACTTACTGCAGTTCAACCTCAACATCAATAAGACCAGGGAGTTGTGCTGTGGTGGCAGAGTGAAATCACCTCTTTCCCAAACCCCTCAGTATTCAGGCTCAGCTGGAAACGCATCAAAGACTCTCAATGAGTGCTACATATTGGCTGAGTTAAAAGACAGCTGGACAAGATTTTGTTTAAAAAAAAAAAAAAAAACAGTAGCCTACTTACACATGTACAGGCCAAACTCATCCAAGAAATTGAAATCCTCCTTTGACCAAAGGGGGTGCCACAATCGACATAAACCAAAAGTGCATCAACTTCAAGGAAAAGGCCGACAGACAAACAGACCAGAGGCCAAACCTAATATTTGAGGCTCATTTAAAGATGGCCTATTTATTTCCCATTGTCAACATCAATTGTATTGTTACCAACAAAAAAAAAAACATCCCACAATATATATTTTTCCAATATCACTGCTAGATTTTCTGCATATACTTGGCCAATATATTCCTAGATCAGTCTGATGAAAGCTGTGGTTACTGTGATATTGGTGTTACAGGCAGGGCCAACTTGGTTTTATTTTGAAAGTACATTTGGTGTGTTTCCGGTACCGATAAGAAACTTGACGCTGTAAGAACAACCAGACCTCAGATATTATCATCGACCAACATCGGTGGCGTCTCTGATGCTCCTGTCTCCGAAGCCGTGCTCAAACAACCGGAAGAAAGCAAACAGGACAGTGACGTTGTTTTAGCAACTCATAATTCACCAAGCTTACAAATTAGCAGTTTAAATATCTGAAGTGGATTTAATGTTGTGGTGTCCATATACTTATGACCATTTAATGCGCATCATTGGTACCGATGACCTCATTCAACCGCTCAGACATAACCAATTGATCTCAGATAAAATAGCATATCTCATGTTCACTTATTTATGTCTTAAGTAAATGGTTATTACGTTTTCTGTATCTGTCATGATAGAACAGCCTCCAGGTGATACACTTTATAACGGAAATGTTATTTCATTTAGACAGACATGTGACAAGACGTCACTGGTAGAAATACTTGTGGGACCCCAAATAGTCACAAGTAGGTTATAATATAGGCTCACAATGTTATGACTGTATTACAATCTATGATTACAATACACAATTAAGGAATATGAGGTCAGTAAAAGCCTCCTTGCTCAGTTTTGTCCTCTTTGCAGGTACATTGAGGGTTTCTTTTTTTTTCCAACACCAGATCCAGATTTTTCTTGTATAAGTTGGAGCACTTGATCATCATCGGTTTTAATTTTATCAATCAACTTCCTCATTTGCATTCTATTATCCGAAGTGTCTTCGTATGACGCATGTCTCTTTATTCACCTGTAGTCAGAGCCACAACTTTTTGCCGGTGGCCACACACCACACGTTTTATCTGCTTTTACAGGATAAAAAAAAACACGCACATGAAAGATTTTAATTTTTATTTGCCCAAAGACTTGAACTACAAGGACATAAGAACACCCTCAGCTATAGAAAACATCAAATCTTGTCAAATGATCAGCAGTACAAACTCTGTAAAGCTTTGCTGTCTTAGATATCTCTATAAACCAACAGAACAGAGAGAAGAAACAACAAAAACAGCTGAATAGAACCGAAAAAACTCTCCCCACGTGAGTGAAAAAAACTCACTTCTGGCCTCAGAAGTCACAGATGAGGATTTTGCCAACTGAAAGCACTAACAAGAAACAATAAGCACTCAATACAAAACAGTATTTACAGAAAAATTACAATTTTTCTTTTTTTTTTTTTTTTTTAACCCCAATTTCATCTTGCAATTCAACTCCCCGAGTCCCTTTTACAAACTCCCATCGATTAATTACAGCATTCACTCTCCTTGAAACCGCCGCAAATTATTTAAATAGTCCACGCTGGTTTTTGTTTCAGACAGTGACAAGATTCCTAAAGGTCAAAATCAGTTCATCAATAACAGATTACTAATAGCTGTCATCTGCCTCTGGACCCAAAATGACAGTCATGAAGTCTCGTCATCGGACCATTTTCAGGTGACCGATGACACAACAGAGCAGAGCAGAAAATAAATTCTTAAGACCTTTGGAAGAAAAAAAAAATATCTACATTCATGGTGTTGGTAAGATGTCCCCACACAGGCACGAACATGCACGCTGCAATCACATCATGGTATGCAACAACAGAACAGTAAAAACAGCACACGTTAAAGCAAAGAAACACACACACACACACACACACCCTCATACATACACAGTACTGTGCATGCATGACCTCAAACTCACACAGAGGGACAGATTTACATTAAGTGCACACTTTTTTTTGGGATAAACATCAGACTGTAACCCGCCGAGATCACCGTCAATACCATTAAAATTTCAAAACAAAAATTGGATGAGAACTATTTAGTTCCTTCAGTTATCCGTAAGAGGACTCCAGAAGGATGAGAGGACAATTAAAAACAAAATGAAACCTAAATAAAACAATGGTTGAGAGAAGACACAGAGACAAGATGTATGACATTTAATTTTTTTTTTTTTTTTTTTTTTTTTAAAAGAGTCAGATTTAGCTTGAAATGTGAAGATCAAATGTTAACCCTTTGCTGTCAAAGGGATCTGGTCTGCCAATAATAACGACCGGCATCCAGTCCACACAAACGGTCGCAGACTGATGGGTTTCTGTGTACTACCGGTACTTGAAATGTTAGTGAAGTTTGATAAATGACACCTTCAATGATGTACACATGACAATAGAGTTCCTATTAAAAGTATTCACTTCCCTTTGCACCTTTATTTTGGTTTGCAACACTGTAGCAGAGTGGATGTAACACAGACTCCTTCATGTTAAAGTGAGAACACTCTTCTGTAAATAAAACCATACTATTAAGAAAACAACAAATAACACAAGTATTTACTGGTTTAGAACTTTTCATTACCGAGAACTCAGGGGAGAGATACAAGATTGTTTTGAGACTACAGTTAGGTCAATGTAACACAAGAAGAATAGATCCAATTGAAAGACTGAAGATGATGGCACAGATGTGAATGGGCTTAGAGCTTAGAGCAGGAAGTGGAGGGGAGATGCATCTATGCAAAGCTGATTCACATCCACATAGACAAAGAGTTGCTACTGCTGCAAAAGGTGCTTCCTCTAAAAATTTAAGTTGGGGGGGAAACTAACATTAATCAATTGTTTGAAATTGCACTCCATTAAAATACAAATGTTGAGACATGTTTTTAGTGCTAGTTTATTTCCGTCCTGAGAGTTCTGTTTGCTCAGATTAAGTGGGGAAATGGGCCATTTTTGCCTGAATATTCCTGTCAAGGAGTCGATCATACAATCCACTTTGATTCAATGTTATAAAACAATATAATTAAAATGAGAAAGTCCAAAAGAGTGGGTGAATACTTTTATGTAGGCACTGTTGTATTTTGAATGAGAGTATTGGTACGTAACAAGTTCTGAAAGTTTCCAGCAACAAATAAAGTTAACATTCATAATGGCTTGATTTTTTTCCTGAAAAAAAATACCACCTTTTTAGAACCAAATGATAAAATCTACATCATCAATTGAGAGGAATAGGGAACACTGCAGCAATGTTCTGGAAAATAAAAATAAAATAATGGAAACATTCTGAAGAGTGCAATTTTTCAGTACCCCACACACACACCCCCCCCCCCCCCATCATCTCTAAAGCGATCCACATTACTGTGTTCTTTGGCTCTGTAAAGCCTTTACACACTCATGTTACCTGTCAACGAATACCAGAACAATAAAATAAACACTGAAGGATCATTTATCATCCTCGACATTAAAACTCTAACCTTTAAACCAATGAACCTGTGAGTCCAGGGTTAAACCAGCGGCAGAAAAGTTCACATCGCCAAACCAGTGGGATGCTGTATTTGGCATAACATCGGCGGCCTGTGCTGTCGGACAACAATCACGCTTGGGGAGGAGGGAATGAAACTGATTTTGGACTCTAGGGCGGGGTCCTCTCCAGAAGGAGATCCCCAACGCAGCAACTTAAGAGTGGATGAGTGCGAAAGGTGATGAGGCAATGCAGGGCTCCCTCTGGTGGTGGGAGGAGAGCAGGGTTGGCACAGTGGCAGAGCTCCCTTGACTCTTGGCTCAGCTCAGCGCTGCTCAGTTCATCTCCACGGAGACGCTGCATCAGTCTGAATCAGAGTCTGACGACCCCTGTGAGTTTGACTCGCTGCTGCTGTCCTCCGACTTGTTCTCCTTGTCCTCCGCCTCGTCGTCATCGTCGTCGTCGTCTTCATCATCGTCGTCGTCCTCCTCCTTCTTCAAACCGACAAAATTTTTAAAAAAATACATAAATATATATTTAAATTTAGTGCAATCAGCCTCAACCAGTTGACATCATATTTTTGTTAGAGCAAAGAAAGACGCTACTGACATCATCGTCGTCGTCATCGTCGTCCTCGCTGGATGAGTCCGCTTCAGAGGAAGCCTTCTCCGGCTCGTCATCATCGTCATCATCATCCTCCTCCTCTGTTTCCTGCAGGAGGGAGAAAAAAACAACATGAAATCACTCCAGCGAATAAATCGACACAAAAAGAAGAACAGGAGAGTCTTGACTTACAGATTTCTTGGCTTTGGCCTTGGGGCCGCCTGGCTTTGCCGGAGCTCTCCTTTTCTGAAACGTCAGATAATTTATGCGTTATAAACATTCCACTTATCAACTTTTCAAGATCAAATGTAAGAGCGACAGTAAGATTTCTAATCTAATATTACCCCGAACAGTGGAGAAGGTGACTTACTTGTGAATTATATTCTACGTAAGTGTTTCTTTCTTGTGAAGACAGGCTCTGTGGAGGATTAGATATTAGTATGTTAGATCAGTGTTCAGGATTTTTTCCCCCCATCTTTTCTTATTAAAAACATCTTTGCATACCGCGAGCCACTGCTCCAGTGTGACTTTGTACTGCCTCTGCTTCTCCTCAGCGATCTTCTTGTAGCGGTCCTTGTCCTTCAGAGATAAACTCTGCCAGCGGCTGCCGATCTCAGTCATCCGTTCCTTCATGGGGAGATGGTTCAGCTCACCGTTGGACAGCATCTCCTGAGAGAACTTCTGGTATCCGTTTCTAGAGTCAAAATAGAGTCAGCGTCAAGGTTTCAACAAGACACACACACACACACACACACAATAGGTCACATACACAAGCTGGACAAACTTACGATGGAGGCTTCTTGGGTTCACCCTCAAACTTCATCTTCTTCCCTGAGGCGATGGTAGCAGCAGGTGAGCGCATCTCACACAGGTCTCTCTGTTAAGTGGGGGGGGGGGGGGGGGGGGGGTAGAGGAAACAGTTAGATCTTTCTCATACATAAAGTATTTTGAATTTCACTTGAAATGTCACTTACCTCGTATCTTTTCTGGTCCTCCGCTGCCTTTTTGATCCACATTATTTTCTCCTTTTTCTCCATGGTGCTCCAGGTCCCTTCCATCGCTTTCTGTGCCTTTGGCCGGTCATTCTGCAAGCACAGGTTTTCATTTAAACACACATTTAACTGGCATTACATGTGAACTTTGTAGTTATTGAATTACACATACTCCATTCTCAAAATGTTTAAAAGCTTTATATGCAATTTTTAACACTTAAATATAATAGAAATCAAGTATATCCTCTGAAAATAACTCTGTGAGTCATGATTGTCTACAATGAGTGTAACACCCGAGTCCCACTGACTGTGATGCTTTCCGAGTCCTATCTTCAGTTTGTTTACATCGCCTGGACGGCCGGCTGACTCCTCCCCTCACATATAAAAGTTGTTTAATTGAGGGACTACAGAAAAGAAGAATAACATACTGTACTCGCTGCTTAACTGTGTTTCTAGATCACGATCATTTCGGGTAAATTTACGTGCAGTGTGAAGATACGAGCATAATAAAGATCGCTAGCATTAGCGTGCTAACACAACAATGCACCGCGAGTTGTTTTGGTTTCATGCTGGTGCTCAAGGGCGACGTCTGCTGGATCAAAAAAAAAAAATTGCATATAAAGCCTTTAAACTCTTCGAAGCAAACAGGTCCAACTCGGTTATAGTTAATTTATTAAAAGTCTTTACTGCCTGAACTGTTAATATCATTTGGTAAACCTCAAACAGAAGAATCAGTTTAGTTAAGCATTTTTAACTAAGAGTACTGTATACCTTAAATCTGGCCAGGTAGTCCCCTATGACACTCTGCTGCCAGATGTCCTGGGCAGTCTTGGGTGGATCTGGTAAACGACTACGGTCCTCCCTCTCCTTCTTCTCCGACTCTGCCTTCAGGACCGTTTCTAGACGTTTGTACTTCTCCTACATAACCAATACAAAAAAAAAAAAACAATTGACATGTTGGAACCACTATACCAGCCTGGCATTTATAATCCAGTTTAATTAAATTACATAGGTTACCTTCTTCTTATCGGGCAGCTCATTCCACATGCGGGCCAGAAGTCTTGTGAGCTCGCTGTCGGAAAGGTCGGGCCGCTCCTGCTGCAGTTTGGGACGCTTTTCCTCAGAGAAGATGAACATGGCTGAAATTGGCCTTTTGGGTTTCTCTGGACTGGCCTACAAGTTACCGATCAAAGGAACATCAGAAAAAAAACTGCTTAGAAAATAGAAAACTGTATCAAAGGATAAGCATGAAGAATCAAATACGGAGATAATAGGACTTGAGTGATGTAATACTTAGTTTAATTTCTTCAATGAAATAAAGCTATGATGGGACCTGAGGAAATATGACTATTAGCTACCCTTGCTGCTCAAATCTGGGTCTTACCTTTGCTTTTGAGTTCTTCTTCTTGTTGGCGGGACTGTTGGCTGCAGTGCCCCTTTTAAAACCGGTCTTATCCTCGGACATGACCCGCTGCTGCTCCTCCTCAGACAAACTCTGCAGATCCACACCGCAGAGATAAATACACAGACATCTTGTATCATAAAGTACATACGTAAAGAAATGATGAAGTAGACATCCCAAAAAAAATAAATAAAAAATAAAATCTACTTACGCTCAGGAATCTGTTCATCTCAATTTCATACTCCTTCTTCCTCTGAAAACAAAAATGACATATTTAATAATAATAATACATTGGATTTATAGAGAGCTTCACAAATTATAAACATAGCGACGTTACACAAAAGGTCAATATTATAAACTTTGATTTCATTAGGAAGTTATTGGACTTGCTGATCTCACCTGTTCACAGCGTTTCTGGTAGGCGTCCTTCTCACCCTGTTTCAGGAGCTTCCACCGCTGGCTGCACATCACCATACGCTCTGTGCTGGGTACATCCTTCATGTTCGACATCAGCTCGGCACAGAACATTGAATAACCATTTCTGTGAACACAAAACATGACATTTAAAAAGACCTTACTCACGGGCACAATGGGCTCCAACCAGCTTTCGGCTTGCAGTTGCGACTTACGGAGGCGGTTTGTCAGGTCTGCCGTCAGATTTGTCTTTCAGGTGGCGCTCAGCCTTCGTCAGGGTGGACTTTACGATATCGTTTTGGGTCATGTTTAACTCTGGGTGCTGCTGGATGTACTCCCGCATCGTCCCCTAAACAAAACGGCAAACAATTCAAGATTAAAACTGAAAGAAAAGACAAGAAACATGTAATACTTTTTCTTCATGTAATAAGTTTTCACACCTCATACAGTTTCCTCTGCTCAAGAGACTTTGAGATCCATTTGAGCCTTTTCTTGTCAGAGAGCTGCGTCCACTGTTTGCCAAGACTGTCCTTGATGTCTTTGGTGGTCGCCTAGAGTTAAAAGAGCAAAACAAAAAAATGCATTAACGATTGTAGGTAAAGATTTTTTTTTTTTTTTTGGGATTCTTGCAGTAGCCACACTTACATCTGGGTGTGTCTTGAGGAAGGCCTTCTTTTCATGGGTATACCACAGCTGTTGGGGTGTCTTGGGCTTCTCTGGAACATTTGAACCTTTCTTGGCCATGCTCTCCACAAGGTCTGGGTGATCTTCCCTGACATTCACATTTCAGAAAACAACATGTTAGCACTGCTATGAAGCCTGTTTTACACTTCTGCATTGCACCCCTTCAAAAAAATGTAATTGAAGACTACAAGCCCTGTGATTGGCTTTGCTGGGAAGCATCTTATTTCAAGCGTTTACAACATTTCTGGTATCACTGCCATATTCAAAATTCTGCAGAAGGAAAACCCCTAGAACCCCATTTATCAGCTCCACATCCAACATTATATGTTTGTTTTCAGTCACCATGGTTTCCTTAATCCTTGAATATTCTACAGGTAAAAGGTTTTATAATCCCCTTAATTAGCCATATTTAACATTTACTACTAATAATACTAGTAAGTCATCTCACCTGAACTTCCCCATGCTATGCACAAATGTTTCTTTGTCTCTCAAGAAGTCGTCAACATATTTTTTCTGTAGACACAAAAAGGAGGAGAACATTTTGGTTAGAATTTTAAAACTGCATGTTATAATATCTATGCTATGTTTTAGATTTGATTTACCTTCTTTTTGTCGGGCAGCTCTCTGTACTTCTTTGAGAGGATTTTAGTTAGGTCGAGGTTGCTCATCTCAGGGTGCAACTTTGCATACTTGGCTCTCTTTTCCATGAAGAAGCGGAAGTATGGAGTCAAGGGCTTCTTGGGGAAATCTGGGTGTTTCTGTGTATGATGCGAAAAAGAGGTTTGAAAAGGCAGATGGCATCATTTTTAATTTGTTGTCCTACATATAGAATTTAACTCACCTTTATTTTCTTGCCCTTGTAAGGGTTTTTGATGTAGTCTTGGGCATCAACTATAAGCTCTGTTAGAGTTCGGAATTTACGAATCTGCGGACGAGGTAGACAAAAAAACAGAGGGAATGTAAAACAAGTACGGTCATGTGCCATATTTAAATTAGACATCAATGAAAGGTATGTCTCACCTCTTTAGAGACCTCCTGCCACTTCTGCTTACACATGTCCGCTGTGTAAGTGTTGAAAGCCACCTTCTGCCAGTCAAGGTGGGACTCTGATGTTTTGTACTTACTCAGGTCTTTCTGGGGCAGGGCCACTTTCATGCCCTCCAGCAGTTTTAATAGGTCATCCTGAGCCCACACTGTGCAACAAAAAAAGACCCAAATATCATAAATAAATAAAAACTATCACTGACCAATGACAGGTAAGATATAAATCTGGCTCAAGTATCCTTTTGGATCCTGAAAATGTCCCATTACTCATCATCAGAGCCACAATATTCAATATATGATTGATATTTTAATGTGTTTTCATAAAAATAGATCCTTTGTCATTAAGAGACTGTTAAAATGTTGAATACATGTCTTCAAAACTTTAAAAAAAAAAAAATCCCACCTTGGCCTTGGGTGGATGGATCCATTACTCCATTCATTTGTGTCTTGTATCTATAAAAGAAACAAACAAAAAAAGTTTTACAACATATCTCTCAGTAATGTCAGCCTAAAAGACTGAAATAACTTGCCATCAACTACATGTAAGTTCTCACAAGGCTCTATCTATTAAAAATAGCATTTTTTTTCTTGAATAAAGATTTTTATGGTGATTTTTGTATTACATTTATTATTTATATAGTCGACGATAATTTATCAAAAAAAGTTATATTTCTGTGAAATAGAAGTAAACCTGATTTTTTTTAAGTAGAGGAATTTAAATTTGCCTCGACATTAAGGTTTATGTACATTACACCGCCCCTTAAACGTTTACGCTACATGGTGAGACATAGGCTATTGCTTGTGACGGCTTCAAATCTCAAATAACACTGCGGAGGGTTTTCAACTAGCACAACTTGCTACGACAACAGGAGTATCCATCGAGCAAATTTCGCCAGACTGGAATTTGGCGTATTAATACTGTCCGTATTCCTCTACAAAAGTATCGTGGATACTCAGGAGCGACCATTTTCTCGCTCGGTCTGCTCAGTAATGGTGGATTTTTCTGTCGCAACTGAGGTTGGGGAGGATTCACGGAAGGAGGAAGCGAATGGACGTGGACGGACAGGCAGCTGTAGGCAACCAGCTGACCACGGACGGGGGGATCTGCTTTCGGTCTCCGATGAAGGGGAATGGTGGCATGGAAGTACTGCAGCCAAATGCGCCACTCGGTAGAGGCGCCTCATCACCGATGGACGCCGGTCTAGCTCCGCCATGCGACCCTATAATCTTCTACTTGAATGTTTAACAAAGCTTTGGCGTGAAATTTGATTTTTTTTTTCTCGCGTACAGTGAAGACATGCGTTTCCACTGTATTTTAAGATAGATTTACTCAGTTTTCTGCGTTCTACGGTGCAAGTTAGGACCACACCGAGTACATTCTTCAGCGAGGCGTAGCCGAGCTGTGCTCCATGATGGCGGCTTCTCGTTGTTCACCATGTCCTTGGTGGACCCAGCTCACCCATGGTGTTCACGGTGCGACCTAGCTACATTAAAAAATATCTATAGTAATGTTTGTGCAACGAAAACGCCTTTATAACCAACTAACATAACCGTTAAAACACAAAATACTTAATTAATGTATTTCTATGTCAATTTAAAATACAAATATGGAACATTGGCATAACATGGCCAAGGGCAACTTTTCAAGCCAAATAAAGCTGGAAATGTGTATTTTATTCAATACGCCATTTAAAAAAAAAAAAAATACGGGTTTGAAAGATAAACATTTGCTAGAATTTATTATGAATCTCCGGTTTTTGTGGAAGGGGGAGACCTATATTAACTATTTACAACAAATGATTTCAACTATTCTAAAATGTGAGGTAGCTTACTGTTAAAACATTGTTGCACTAATATTCTTCGTTTTGCGTTTTTTGAGAACAAAACCAAGAGATTAGAAGATAAAATTTTCGTGGTGGTGGGGTTTGCAAAGACTTGTGGAGGCGCAGGAAGATTTGAAGAAAATTGAAAATATATATTTTTTTAACATTCACACGTTTCAGCTTCGACCTTTTTCTTCCACGAATGTTCATTTTTTTTTTAGCGTTGGTTAAACGTTTTTTCGGAGACTATGTCGCACTGCTAAACTGTACTTAAAACTGCAAGCTACGTTTTAAAAAGGAAACATGGTTACATCCGAGGCAAAGCAGCTTCACAGGCGCGACAAACAAGCTCCGGGTCCGCCATGCTTTAGCTCAGCTCTACAAGGAAACCTACCGTGACAAGGTCCAATGGCGCACTGCAAACAGAGAAAGCGGAGCTTAAAACTAAAGCCAGGGCGTTGCAGACTCCCTTCCCTCGACCCAAAAGCGCATAAGCTAGATCAAGAAGGCGGGTTCACCGGGCTCCGTCCTCGGTGGTTCTGGGCTAGTTTTGTGAGAGAGAGAAGAGGGGGAGAGAGAGGGCGAGTCTCTGCACGGTGAGATATTAAACCGAGATCCCTGATGGCTAACCGAGAGAGGCGGCTGGCTGTTCCGTCAACAGCCGCATGGAGGTCTCGGCGCGGAAACTACCGTTAATACCCCAACACGAGTAGCCTACCCCGTTACAGAACGAACGACCGAGTTTCGACTACACAATATCGCCATAATCGCTAGTTTTTGTTTTATTCAAGACATTAACACGTTTACCTCCAGGTCTTTGCATCCAGTTTCTTCCCCGCTTTAGAGGGCAAGAAATTCGGCTATGGCCGACCTCGTTTGTACCCTGACACAGCTGTCGGTTTACTTCGCTTCTACAAAAGAGGCTGCCGACCGAGGCGAATGATTATAAATAAGCAAAAATAAACCCGGATTCAGCGGGTGTTGTGTTTTTTTTCTCTTCCAGAGTGTATTTGCCGCGTTCCCTCGCTGTATTATGAAACCGAGCAGCGTGTTCGTTGGCTTACCTGTCTCTCGACGTGAGCCTCGGTCTGGTTGTGGAGGAAGAAGGGGAGGGTTGAACGTTAGCCAGCACTGCGCCGTCGGTCCTGGGCTCTCGTCCCCGCAGAGATGGTCCTTCCCCCCCGCCTCCATCTCTCTCGTCGTCTCCCTCCACTCATCGAGCAGCAGCTCCTCTCTCTCCATCCAACCATTTCGCTACGCTGAGACATCCACATATTTTCCGAAGTGGCACCGATGTATCTCAACCCAACCAAGGGCGATTATTTTAACTCTACTCGGTCGAACTTGTCTGATCTTCAACCCAACTTTGCACAATAAATATTTTTGCTGGAAGATTCACAAAACTAAAGTTTTGCTAATTGTTTTATAATTAAAGTGCATTTCGCACATCTCACATAACTTTAAATAATTAACTTAAAAATAATTTAAAAAATAATATTTTCTCTTATCAGTGTCAGATGTCCAATTTAGAGAAATCTTTCTTAAAGGTATCTAAAGCAGCCTCCATGCCCTTATAACATTGCTCTATTCCTGTTTTAGCAAATTGTAAGAGGCTCTTTGACAGCTTCAATTTGGCCCAGCATGTTTTTTTCTTTTCAACTCCACCTTGTGTGTTTGTGGGCGGAACCCCCGACCGTCCAATCCAGTCAGTCCGACTCACGGAAAACAAATGACTTTCAGGCACTCAGCCTTGTAAAACTGTGCTGCGTTTCCGTGATGTCGGAATTGTTGGCATCGTAGCATGAGAGCAGACAAACGTTTGTCAGTGTTTGTATGGTTTGTATATAATCAAAAGTATTGAATTTAATAATAATACACTACATATTTAATTAAAACGTTTTATATAAATGACATGTGTTACATAACATAAGAATGACATTGGAAACAATTCATAACAAGTCTTATCTTGGAATGTAATTTCATCTTATTTCATGACATAGTAGAGTAGTATTTACTGGACATTTTTTAAATTTCTAAATGCCTTTTTTTTCTGTATCTGCTTAATAAAAATCATTGATGCTTTCTCACTTTTGTATTTTTTCTTTTCCTTCCTTCTATATATTCATTCACATATTTATCTCCAAGTTCCCTAAAGGTTCAAAAACCCTGTCAACCAAGTCATGCAGTCACAATCTTTTCAGATGCTAGAATTTACTGGATGTGCATGAAGGCAGCATTTAGCTGAGTGACAGGCGTTCAGCTTGTATGGGACACGCCTCTTCTATTAAATTGCAACATGAGTAAAATTAGCTGTGTTAATGTGAAATTTGGTATTTGTTAATGCATTAATGGACACAAACATAAAAGGTAGTTTTTTTTATTTTAAATTAAGTGAAAATCCAAAGCATGTACAGTGTTTGAGGCACACAAATACATGCTAGAGATGACAAAAGATGAATTTACAAATGAGTCTTTCTAGATAAAGTTATAGGCACAACAATCAGCTAGAACCCTTATATTTTATAATCCATTATACCTAACAACTATTTCTCATCCTTTTAATGTAAACATGAAAGCAATTACACACATAACATGAATAAACGTAATTCTATACACATTCTAAACAGATCAGCTGAACAGAAAATACCAACTTGTTCAGTAAACCATGCATAATATGTCAAATGAGGCAAACTAGAGCAACATCTTTCAAAACATATTTTGAGAATAAACAAAGCCCATTGTATATGGTAATTGCTGGTGTGATATTTATGGTGTCCCACAAAAATGTGATTATCTGTGTGTGTAACGGGCTCAATGGATTAAATGTTCTTATTTTAAAAAGTAAATATTAGATTACATGGAAAACTATTATTGTAACATCACCAGAGCGACATTTTCACAGCACGGTTAGGCATTTTAAAGCTATACTGTATAACACCAAACACTAAAAGAAAAAAAAAAGTAATATAAATAAATGTATCCCACATATTGAGGGTGAATGATTTCCATTAAAAGGCATCAAGTGTTTGTCCTGCATGAGACTTTTTGTTCATTATAAAAAAAAAGTAAATAAAACAGCAGTTATATATGGTGGGATGGGGAAACTAGTTCCACAAAAAAAATCTAAATAGAATATGAGTATGAAATGTGGAAAAGAAGACAGCCATAGTAGTAGCTAAGAGGCAAAAAAAAAAAAAAACCTAATGTATGAAAACTAGATATGAGAGGTATTTTTTCTTTAAAGGGAATGTATAATAAAAAACAGCTTGGAAATGTGTACGTTAACATATTCAGATCTCAAAGACAAATGTTTTTTATTACATCATTTGCTTAAGGGTTGTTTAAATTCAGTTGAAAGTTGGTAAACGAAAAATGTAGGGTTGTTAGTCATGGCACTGGCGACTCATTGTAGCCTACACATCCTCCTCAGTCTCCTCCTCAAACACCACTTTGGCATCATCTGCATCCAGCTGTAAGACAAACCCCATCCAGTTACAACACCTTACCATCAGATTACATTACAGTTCTAAGCTTGACATGATGCAAAGAGGTACTTACACATTTCATCTCCAGTTTAGAGAAGAGAGTGCCGGTCATGACAATGCGCAAAGGGATGGTGAGAATGAGAACAAAAGGAAGAGCCAAAGAGAAGGAACTCATCTTCACCATCCAGAGGAGTCCAAGGCACACGAGCTGGATAAATGTGAAGAGGTGCATCCGCATTGTGCCCACCTGTACATATGAGATCAATACTGAGAGTCAGCAAACTAATAACAAGCTTAAAGAACATTAAAATGACCAGATTGCTAAATAACATTGAGATGAAAGCAGTGGGATTGTTACAGACACAAATACACTTAAGTACAAAGAAAAACTGGAAAACAAGAAGACTAACATAGCCTAATGTGGTGTGTATGGATGAATGACTGAACAGGCTTATTTTGCACAGATCAAAAAGCTAGATCATTTTTCTGAGGTCACTCTTCACAAATGTCTTCACAAACTAACCACAAAGAGACTTAAAATGGCCAAATAGTGCAACAAAATGACAACAGATGTGTAGCAACTTCAAAGAGACAAAAATACCACAGTGAGATGCAAAATGACAACCCCGGAGATGGAAAACTGATCTAAAGAAGCAAGACGACCCAACACAGTATCAAAGAGTCACAAAATGAGCACAGAGTTACCAAACAACCACCAAAAGATATTTAACAACTACAAAGAGTCTCAAAAAGAGAGCAAAGAGACACTAACCACTAAATGGTGCAAAATTACCATAAGAGTTATACTGTAAGCAAACACAAAGAGACACAAACAGACGGACAGATGTATAAAACATGTCGACCAAAAGAGGAAAAAAGGACCCAATAGATTCATTGCCCTCCTCTTTGGCTCAAGATGTCTCTGATAAACGTATTGCTAAAACAGGAAACAACAAGCTTATCAAAGAGAGGATCTTTGAAGGGCCATTTTGTGAAATTTCATTCCATATTCTTATCACAATTCCCTATAACTTCCCCTTATTTTGGTAATTCTATAAAGTAAAGAAGCAATAAAATGTGCAATTCCTTGCATGTGAATAGCTATGACGTTGCAGTTCACAAGGACTTATCTCCAGAGGAATGGACCTTTTAGATGAATAATTTGGTGGAAGGTTACATACCCTGGTGGCATAGGCGTCAGCTGGATGGTACTTCTTTGGCGTTATCAACAGAAGTATCCTGTCCCACATCTGGATTCCACTCAGAGAGGTGATACCCATGTAGAGAAAGATACCAAACAAGGCTGTCATGGGAATCATCTTCAGAATGGGCTCCATGAAGATAGAAACACCTGGAAGTCACAGAAGATAATTAATTAGGAAAGGAAAATAATGATTTATTCCTGATGACCTGCTGTGTCTGCATCAGCACTAGAGATGGCAGCACTTACCAACCATGATGGCCACAAGAATCCCACTGATCCTCTGCTCTAACACCTTCTCAATCTCGGGTTTTGGGCCCTTGGACATGACTGTGAGGGCGTTGGCGTGAGTGACGGATCGCACGGTGGCAGCACTCAGCCAGGGCACCCCGAAAATAGAGGAGATGCCTCCCATGGTGACCAAGAGAAGCAGATCGAAATGAAAACCAGATCCTTTCACCATCTTCCTCTCAGGTTTGCTCACAATCAGCCTGGAAATTCACAGAAAACGTAACTTCACAAGCAATGATAATGCACACTAAAGTGACATTATTTATTGAGTCACTCACGTGGTAATCTGGGACTCAAGGAAGATGAGAATGAAGACAAGCAGCGCCGGGACACAGCAGGCACCCATCATCCAATAAGGGAATACCTTCTTTTCTCCCAGGGGGTTAATCAACCAACCTCTGGCTTTGGGGTTTGTCACCTCAACACCTTTTGGGACAACCAGTTTCTACAAGGGGACATGATAATATTTAATCTGTTGGTCATTTAATAATTACAGAAAGCTGAAAAAGTAGACATTTTCTTCTAAGTGAATAATTGGGAAACTGGCGAGCTACGTTTTAGTTTAATTAAAGGGGAAGGCAACCAAGAACATAAACTCAATATTCCTTTGTATGTGCAGGTTCAACATTTTTGAGTGAAAAGTAACCAGTTGATTTTTTACAGACTTAACAAGCCAGTATATTGCACTCACCTGAGTGTAAGCATCCTCAATGCAGATGTCCACAGCAATCATGAAGAAAATAGCAATGGGGACACCGAAATCTCCAATCAAACGCCGCAGCTAGTGAAGGAAAAACCAAGGTCAAAAACACAATTTCTTTTTTTTGTTTTCAGTACCTCAGTGTTGCACAACATAACAATTCCTGTGAAATACACAAAATAAATAAAGTGGACCTAGCCTCTGGGTCTTAAAAGTGAAGCCAATGCATTGAACCTGCCTTCTTTTTAATGGCCAGGAGGGGGAAACTTCACTGGTTTCAAGTCAATTTCTATAGAGGCGACAAAAATATGGCCCTTTGTCTAACTTGATTTATTACCTCAAAAAACATTCTCCATTAAGAGTTTATGGTTTCAACCTCATTTTCTTTGATTAATAATTACTTTAACGTTGTATACTTTGGTTCCTTTATAGTAAAATACACAGTAAAGCAAGATAAGTCTTAAGGTGGTGCTCCTCTGCGATTAAAAAGCTGTAACAAAGAACAAAGAAAAAAAGCCTTGATTGTAGTTCAGTTGAAAGCCACTCTAAAACTTGGCTTTCGCTTTTTTCAGCAAGTATATTATTGTTTAAAGCCTGGGTTGTGGAGCCAGGATTAGCATCCCAACAAAAATCAGAGTAACAGGGAATATTGGATACACTTTGCTAGTCAAGCAAGCCATCTGTTACATTATAATTTAATGTTTGCTAACCTTTAGCTAATCCTAAACTCCCTGCTCTTGTGGTAAATTTTCTGAAATCCCAACGTGGCAACAGCTGAAATGTCTTACTTTAGGCTTCAAAACAGTGGACCACAGACTAGTGTCCAACTACTTATAACCAGTCAATGCTCCAGATACTGAAAGACAAATTTACCGGGCCGGGGAAGTAATGACCAGTCTTGAAAGTGCGGAGGAAGAATGCAATGGAGAAGCAGCCAAACATCAAGCACATGGACAGCAGGGCAGTGTTGGGGTAGGCCCTTTCAATCTCCAACTCTTTAATGGTTACGTTGCCATCTGGATGATACTCAGTGTGCTGCTTGATGACGGGGTGAAAGGGGTTGTCCATTGTGTCGTTTAGATGGTCGTAGTTCAGGACCAGAGGGTGGGTTTTGAAGATCTGAGCAAGAAGAGAAGAGAAGGCAACTTTAAGAGATAACAAATATATATGAACAGTATGGGGCATTAGAGAAATTGTGTCTTTTGGTTCAATGAATGATGAGATTAGGTGAGGAAACCTTGATGAGCTTATTGAAGGTCTCATAGATGAAGATGAGCGAAATGAGGATGGAGAAGATTTCTTGAGTGAAGCGAGAGATGAATCTGACCAGGAAGCTGCCCTCCACAGCAACGATGATGAACACAATCACTATCAGCCACACCCCCACCCAGATACGACCCACAATGTACTCGAAGTCATTGGCCTTGCAGAACTACAGTATGATATGAATGAAGAAAAGTTAGTAAAGAAAAAATATTGCTTTCTAAAGAGGAGTCTTAACATCTGACAACTCAACGTACAGCGAAAAATGCTTCCTCAAACACCAGCAGCGGTCCAGAGAAGCCAATGACGAGGACTGGCTGGGCGGCGATTAGACAGAAATAACACCCTGGATGCTGGTAGAGATCATTAGCTCTGACACGCCCATCATTTTTTCAGTCTTGTCAGCTAGGGACAGAAAAGAGAAGAGAATGATTAATCTAATCAATAAAGTCCTGCAATTAAATTCATGTACTTTTGTCTATCTGAAACTTTTTTCCTTTTTACCCAGAAGCCCTCCGAAAGTGATAGCAGGGGAAAGGGCTGCAAAGTAGATGAAGATGACTGCAGCGAGGACCTGTGGGTTCAGAGCATCTGTGTAGTCGCTGATGTAGTGGCGGTAACGGCGCTTTATATCCTTTATCATCCCACCAAAAGGATAGCCTGTACGGGCCAGAGGGTCCTCACGCGGCTCCTCTGGAGCCTTCTCAGCTGGACATTCACATAAATTAAACATAATATTGACATTAATATTGATGACAGTACATGTTGCATTATGGCTGCGTTTGAAAAGAAAACATGTTTACTTCAAGACTTCATTTTCTGTAGCCCTACATATTAAACAAACAACATATGACTTACAACCCTGTGTGTTATACTAAGCTAACCAGCTATTGGCTTTAGCTTCAAATTCAATGGAATACTTGTGTACAGTGTGCTGACCTTTGATTCTGTCGCCGAAGGCAAGACGAGTGTCTGAGGGACGGAGTCGGTCACGCAACATCTTTTGCTGGAAATCGATGATCGGTTCAAGCATTCCCTTATCCTGGATCTCAGTGGGGGGGATCACAATGCTGCAGTCCATGAAGTCAGCAATTGCATTGGTTAGATCTTTGTCAGTCTGTGCCAAGAAGGCCTCCAGACAGAACACCTGTAGATGAAGAAAAACAGACAAGTTATAGTAATGTGCCACGCGTTAACCAAATGAGTAGCCTACCATTAGAAAACAGGTGATGTTAGCATTTAAACAATTCTTTGCTAAAAGTTCTGTTTGCTAAGTTGAAAAATATTACATTCCTAGCCTAGATGGTAATGTTAGCTTTTTACTTTGATGGTAAATGGAAAATGTGTCCTTTAACAGTATTCAAAGTACAGACAGCTAGGAATCAGTTGAATGCCACCATGGACAAAGGCTAACATTAGCACTCCACTCCCTAACTGATATAACTTTGTTTTTGTGTTACACCATACAATAGGAAAGGTCATTTTTTATTATGTTAATGCTCGCTAACTGACAATAATGTTCATTAGATGTCGGTTATATGCTAATATTAGCTGTTGTGACTTTGCTGTTGAGCCATGAAATATGTGGTTTTTGATAACAATAGATTTTTAGTTGCTGGATTGGGGTGAAATTTTAATCTTTCAAATCAGCAAATTTTTTCAATTGACTTTAACATCCTTCAAAATGGCCACTATGTGAATCTTGTGGGCTCATTGCTAAAGCTGAATTTCTCTTCTCTCTTACCCAGTCGGCCATCAGAGCACCCATAGCGCGGCCACTTTCACTGTAGTCTATGTTGCTCTGGCTTGGACCCACCAACACAAAGACAAAGCGAACAGGGACCGGCGACTCCAGGGATGAGTCCATCACCACAGAGTCTCTGAGTCTCACAAAGGCCACCACTGGTTTCTGCAGGATGTCCAGGATACCTATTGAAAACACACACTCGATTATCTGCATCGAATAAGAACCCTTGAACAAACTGGCCCCATCAAAACATTGAACCAGATAAATGAAGATAAATGAAGTGAACATACCTGAGAGGACAATTGAGGCCTCCATGTTGTCAGAGCTGTCTCTCTGCAAACAAAATCACAGGTGCAACAGTACAGTTAATGCAAAGGGCATGAAATGATAAAAGTGAATGAAACAATGAATGAAACTATACCTTATTGGTTACAGAAAAGGTCTGCATTTCAATGTCTCCAGAGGCGGTAACAACAGGCCCCCCAGACTGACTGGAAGGACAGATTACATGTTAATAAGGTGCATGCTGTGAGCGTTTTAATACCTGACTGACTGAAAAAACAGAGATATTGTGGGTAGTGGTTGCAATACCTGCGTCTCATGAGGAGAGCTCTCAGCAGCCCGTCCCGATCACTTGAGCGGATCTCACCCTTGTTCAGAAGCTCATCGGCCACCTTCTCAGCCACAGCAGACAGGCTGCTGGCATTTACGTCAAAGATGACAGCACCTGAGAACATTTAAGTTTGCTTTGAACTGGTCATCGAAGTGTAAGTATTTTATTGGGAGTTGAAAACTAATTTTGGGTTTATTTTATGGTCACCTGAGCTCATGGCTTTGCGTAGCTGGATCAAACTCTTAAAGGTGAGATAGGAGACATGAGAAGGACCCCATGTTCCTGTGTCAGGGTTTAAATTCTCCTCATAGCCCACCCATCGACTGGTCTCCTGCCAGGTGCTGCCCTGAAGCTCATTCAGCTCCACATAGGCCTTTGGTAGTGAGCAATGATATCAGTTATTTAACATAGAATGATAATGATTGGTTGGTTGTTCATACGTTTTTAGAGTTTCCACTTACTTGGGCATCCCCTCTTGTTGTGGCATTTGTGTTCAGGTTCAAATAAGCTGAAATAAAGAGACAACATCCTTATTTTTGCACAGATACAAAGGTCAATTTAACAACAGCTGCGTAGCCTTTGGGGAAAAAAACCCACCCTCTGAATTGCTGGGGATGACGATGGCCTCCATTGGTGGCTCATTCTCCTCCTCATCCTCCCTGCTCTCAAGAACAAAAATGTCACTCTGGCCTGGTGGCAACCTATTTTGTGGATAAAAAAAAAAAACTATGGCTGAACTATGATTGTAGTGGAATTGTATTATATTTACTCAATAAATGACAAATCTAGTAATTGTACAGAGCAATTTGCCTCAATCTAGGATGATCAAGTTATCCAGATATCAGACTTCTATTAGTGCTGTTCTTTTCTTGCCACAAGAGGGCGACATTGTTCAATGTCAACCTACTTTTGTATTATTAACGTTGAACGCATATGTGCCCTACATTTAGACTTGGATAATATGAAAAGCAGTGGTTTCAGTGTACCCTTGACTTTTAACCTAATAAGTTGTTATTGGCCATGCTTGTGTAGTACCATCCAACTGGTGTCTGACTTTAAAGCTCCAGTGAAGACATTATAGTTTGTGTTGTTTTTCAGTGGCTCGTTTCAGGCTAAATCTTGAGTATTATATCAGTCGAAAGAATCAGCCTAAAGAAGAGGGGAGGACTCACAGTCTCACTGGAGAAGGGAAGACTGAGTCATTTTCTTCATAGGACATTTCACTGCCCTAAACATGAGGAAGTTAAAAAGAAACAAGAGCAGAAAATGTAATGAAATTGTCACTACAAAGTGAAAAAAAATGTTGTGCTGAAACATAATCAAACTCTGCAGTCTTAATCACCAAGACCAATTATACTTTATTGTAGATCCCCTTTTACATCTAAACTGCAGAAGCTATTTATAAGAAACGCATTACTTTTTCAAATTGCAATTTCCTTCAATATAACAATATATGATAGGATCTTTGTAATGGTATATGTAAACTTCATGTTGAAAATGTTGATACTAAATGATAAAACTTGAAATGCAAAGAAGACCCACCTCATCAAAGCTGAAATTGTTTTCCATTGCTGTAGATACCTGTTCTTGAACTTTCAGCTACTTTTATGCATTCCCTAAGCCAGACAAAGATTGAACGAATTAAAAACTACAAGATCAAAACAAGAATTTTTAAAATCCTGAGACTAAAAAAAACAATAAAAGATTACATCCTGACATAGTTTTATTGTCTGCCGGTACAACTACAGCATCCAAAACACAAAAATCGAATCCTACAAATACACTACATATTACTTAGGAACTTAACAAAGATGCTTTTACTCCACAGTTAACTACATTTTCTCTCTTCGTTTTTTTTTTGAGCCACTACAGAAATTTACAAGGCCTGTTTGGAGGTGTTTTTGAGGCGGCATGGATGAAGATACCGCCATCTGCAGAGCCACAGCTCCAGATAGATAGTCATTAGCCGTTGAGACTTTGAGCTAAGTTATATTTGAAAAAGATGCCCATACATGAAGAGCCTTATCTTGTGGTTACACCCTTCTCTTCAGTAGCAGTGCAAAACACTTTAAATAAAGCTAACTTCACATATAGCAATACAAAACCGGAAACATTTAAACAGGAATTTTAAAATTCACAAAGTTTTTATACTTATTATTCAAATTTGTGTAATACATTTCAATTTAGGGAAAAAAAAAGCTCAACAACTCGGCCACCTTTTTTTTGTTAAATTCTCAAATTTTTTGTTAAATTCTCAAAATACTCAAAATATCTCTTAGTCGCTTACATTAACTGAGTTGAAGTTTCAGTTGGGAAAGATAGACTTGTTGCAAAATCTTGATAAGGAATTATTCTTAGAAACTCATAAAAATACATATATGGGCAGTCAATTGAGACACTATTCCTAATAGTGAAGAACTCTGATAATTTAGCTTTAATTCAAAATAGACAGCTTAGATAATTTATAAAGTGTTACAAATGATCATTAACAGCTCTTACTAATACAGAATGATAATTGCACAAGACCTAAAACCAGCTTTAAAAAAAGCAAAGCAATCACCTTTGTATGTTCAGGTGGATATTCCTTCAAAATAATTATTCTTAGTAAAAGAATAAAAACCTTTTATCACAACAAAAAAAAAAAAAAACTCCCGCCCTTATCTGACATACACCACAGAGAGAAAATAGTCACCTTAAGGATATTTTCAGATATCTATTCGGTTTGTTTTCTATCTTTTTACTCAAAGCAGTGCCACAAAGTAGTGTCTGACCCCTGTCCAGAGGAGGCCACACCCTTACCTGCATGCAGGTACTCCCACCTGGTCTCCAGCAGTGGAAACAGGACGCTCTCTGCTCTGTCAGCCTAGACGAGCCCGGTGATAAAGTGAGCCAGGACAAACCAAAAAGACGATTACAGAGAGAGCACAAGAAGTGTGGGAACACCCATATAAAACTACGTCAACCCTAAGAAGCCCTGTACCCCACAACCCCTTCTGGCTGCTAAGCAACCAAGCTCGAGGGTGAAGGAGATAAGGCCTCTGTGAGAGACAAGCAGCCCTATCCGACAGGGACACCTTGAGGCGGGGGTATCCCAACCTCGCCCTCCCTCCCAGCATGCACCAGGTCCGAGCCAGGACCAGGGCAGTAAAAAGGGCCTGCAGGCCTGATTCCATCCTAACTGAGGGGCACGCAGGGGGTAAAGAGGGTATGGAAGGGGGCAACTTAAATAAGCAAAGGGAGAGCATCTTAGTACGTCATCTTGTTTACGTGTTTGGGATTCCCCTCTGATGAGCGGGGATGTTCCTCTGCACATGATTATTTTGAAGAAAGATACACAGAACACAAGTTAAAACATCTTGGTTCATTTTAGCCCTAAAGCCCCTTAGCATACAGTATGTGACATTTTGGCAACAGGGTCAGCCATCTTCTACCATTTACTGGAGGTCCAGGCTGGTGGTCCAACCCCATCTGATAAAAGACACTGACCCAGGAAGCAGCACCTTGTTGAACAGAAAAACATCAGAAATTGACATGTATTTTGATAAAATAAAAACAACCTAACCACATGATGACAGTATCTGCATAGGAGCTGTCAGAATGTGAAAGTAATTTATTGAACTGTCAGGCTGTCTCTCTGCTGGAACAATCTGTGTACAATTACCACTTGACACATCGTTAGAATCTACCTAGACACTCGGTAGTGTACTGTATATACCACATGCATAAAAAGCAACTTTTATTGTTGTTCTTGGTTATAAACACATCCAGACCACAACTGACAATAGGCCTATTTTTTGACAAATGAGTGCTTTGTAGTGAATTAACTGTCACCTTGACAATCGACTATCAACCAGAGACAGTAAATATCAATGGAAGAAGCCTGAGGGATGTCACCCAGCTGTTACTGCAGGTGAACTTTGGAATACCATCAATGGAGGTTGCCATGCTAAAAATGCTGTCTCAACCTTACTTTCAGTCAACCTAACAATCGAAGAGGTGTTGAGTTGAGTTTTAAGAGTCTTGACAAACCATTACAATGCGCCCGGCTATCAGTCAGGTCAGCTGCGTGCCTTATTGTGAAAAATGCTAATCCTTTATAGAATCAAAATGGACAAGTTATGTTAAAAACTGGCTTTTTTGAATGGGAGTGTGTAAGTGTCTTCCGGTGCTTCTTTAGCCAGCCTCAAGCAGACACTCGACAAACTGCAGGATTTTGCACTTCCCCATTGGCTTCAACACAGCGGTTTCCACATGCTATACACTCAGCTTCTATGACCCTCAGTCTGGGTAATAACAAAGAATGGTACCGAGGACTACCCAAAATATTTCTTAAAAAAAGAAAAGATTTAAGTTCATACCTAAGTCGTTTGGCCCGCTTTAAGTGAATTCTGGTGCACTTTGTCAGATTGTCCTTTTGGTTTGGAGTGGTTTGAATGCTCAAATGAACTCTGGTGTGGGTCAAAGAACCAAACAAGAGCAAACAAGTTGGAAGCTCTGTAAGGCTATATATGAAGGCAGGAGTACCTCAGAGATCTATCCTTGGACCAATTCTAATTACAATGTATATAAATAGTATTGCAGAAAATGTTGAAAACTGTAAAATTCACCTGTATGCTGACGATGCAATATTATATGCCATTGTGCCCTCCAATACTCAAGCCCTTTCATTGCTACAGACCGATTTTAACAATTTCCAGCAAACTTTTGTTCATCTTAAATTGAAACTGAGCCCCCAAAAAACTAAATATATGATCTTCTCAAAACAGAATGTTGAACCCATTAATGCCACATTGTCAACAGCAGACAATGTAAACATTGAGTATGTATAACAGTTTAAATATTTAGATATCTGGTTAGATCATGATTTGTCGTATAGGTCTCACATTTCTTGTTTATCTGGAAAAATAAGACCTCAACTTGGTTTTCTGTATAGGAACAAATCCTGCCTAACAGTGCATAATAGAAAAAAGATTGTCCAGGCTACAATACTGCCCGTTTTGGAATATGGAGACACACTCTACATACACGCATCTGCTTCTGTCTTGAAGCCTTTAGATGCCTTATACCACAGTGCTCTGGATAACTTTGAAAACACAGAGGTTTAGAACTGAATGGGGAAAGACTGCCTTTAGTGTTGCTGCACCCAGTATGTGGAATAACCTTCAGAGGATAGCTAAGTTGCCCTCTCTTGTTTCATACAGTGTTTTTAAAGACCTTGTGTCCAAACTACCAGGAAGGAAATTGTTTCACAACGTGAATTCATTTTAAATGGACATGGTTTACATGATGTGTGAATATGTGTTTCAGTGTCTAGATGCTATTATTGTTTACTGTTAATATGTTTATATTTGTGCTGTTTCTATTTTTGTATTGCTGCAGGGCACCCCTGGAAAAGAGACCTCGGTCTCAGTGGGTCCTCCCTGCTAAAATAAAGGATAAATAAAATAAAATAAAAATAGATATATGTGACCTCATATCAGTTATAAATCATACTATGTCACTTTATATCATCACTTGTCACTTTAAAGTGTAATTTACTGCACAGAATGTCTTAATTGTCATTTATAGATATATATTCCATATGTATGTATCTCTCTATTTATCCATTTTTATTTATCTTATTGATTCTTACCTAATTGCTACTTTGTCTTTATGTTGTTGTAACGCCTGAACTTCCCCTCTGGTGATTAATAAAGGATGATATTATCTTATCAAACATCTTGTTTTTTTATAGATCATTTCTTGTTGTTTGCCTTCGTTAGACAGGAGATGTAGGGGAAAGGGGATTACATGCACCAAATAGCATCAGGGTTGGATCATGAACCAGTGACCAGTACGACTATACTGCAGCCTCTGTATATGACGTGCCTGCTCTACCAACTCAGCGAAAGCAGACCGCCCCATCCCATCATCTGTGTCATCCTGGTTACATTTTTTTTAAGGAACTCTATGATGACAAAGCATCTCTCTGCCTCTCCTTCTATTCCACTTTTTCAGCCCGTCCAATTGTGACACTACCAATGAGTGCGCTTCTGCTTGAAGTTTCTGCCTGTTAAAGAAAGTGTTTCCTGCCATTGTTTCCAAGTGCATGCTCATTGGTTAAATTAAGTTGATCTTTATAAATAATATGACGAAAGAGCATGATATAGTCTATATTTAAAATGTCAAAAGACCGTCATTTGGGGCAACATGATGTGGGGATATAATCACTGTGTGGAAATCTGATCATGAATCATTTCAGTGGTTGGGGGCACATGTGTTTCCATACTGAAAATTTGAAATGTTGATACATTGATTGATAAAAAACAAGCTCATGGTCCCCACTCGGCCCTCAGTGGAAATATATAAATACTTTCCTACTCACAGTAAGAGACAGTGGGCCCCAGCTATAGTGACACAGTAGCACAAGCCTGTTATCACCAGTAGTGAAAGCTATCTGTTGTGTCCATGTGTCTTCACACAGAACATGCAGACACTCCCAGTCTGCACGGAGCCATTTTCATTCAGAGGTGTTCATAGTTTTTAATGTTAACCCAGAAGTCATAGATAGTTGTGGTGTTTAGAAATCTTTCCTAGTTAAAGATAAAGATAAATAAATCCATACAAAGTGTGAGGCACCCAAAATAATCTATTTGTAAATGACATCAACTTTACCTGTAAATAATCAACATGCATTTGGATAAATTGTGACTCAGGCTTTTTAGGTTTAAGAAGTTAGGAGAAAATGAAAACGTTAAAGGCTTTCACCTAAACACACCTGTGTCATTAAAGCTGTTTAAAGGCTCTGCTCTTTTGTCTATCAGGGTGCACAGAGCTCTATCAGGGTTTGAACAAACACCTCTGATGTGGGTTATCACTAAGGACCAGAGCCAGCACCAAAGACCCACCTAGTCACAGAGTATGACACGGCCATACACAACCTAGCTCACATTAAACTGCAGAAAATACACAGTGGAGGCACTTATACACAGTGATACTGATGTGATATACAACCTTAACTTCTTTTTAACATCTTCAGTGGTTCTTTAACAAATTGTTCACCAATTGAGTAGCTGATATGTGACTTCATCTGATAATATATAATCAAGAGACTTCCTACAGTCTTTGTTTTAAATTTGATTAATATGAACCCTTTTTTTTTGTAGGACAAGAAAATGAATGACCTTCGAAAACGACCAAACCTTTTCATTTTTTGAGGGTTAGAGAGATGAGAATGGTAGTGAAAGCAGCCCTTATGTTTATACCATGTAGTCACAGCTCTGATACGATTTCCAAGTTGCAAGGATACTTACCATAAAAATAAATAAAACATTCTCATCATTTTCTGTATGAAATTTGTTTACACAGTTCAAACCAGAACAGATTATGAAACAAAGCCTCCAGGGTTGTGAGTAGTTTTTTTTGTTAAACCAAATCATATACCTTTCTTCTTTTGAATTCTCTCCACGCATTCAACTGTTAGTATGAGATTCTCTCTCCTTGAGCAGTGGGGGAGGGGGGGGATGCCAGAGGCCAAACACTGAGTATGACAGTCTTTGTTGAATTTGGCGCCCCTTAGTGTGTTTGGTCTGTAGGGCATTTAAGCGCTGCATAACAGAGTTCTGAAAAATCAAGATTCCAATCTTTTGTGTGTAGTTTCCTAAAAGCTTTAAAACTCAAATACAGTCTGTCAGGCACTTTTTTTTTTTAATTGTCTCCCAAAGACATAAACTAAAGGTCATGTCAAATTGTTAACATAATAAATGTGACTATTAGACAACTGGACATTAAAGTTTACTTATATTCCAACTTCTAGATTCTGAAATGTCCTCTCTCTGTCTGCTGGAGCAGAGAGGAACTCAAGTGTGTAAATGGAACTGATGCTTATGCTGACTTAAACAACTGTTGCCATGCAGGCTAAACAACATACCAGGAGAACCCCCCCCCCCTACCCTGTTCAACCTGTGTTGTTAACATACCGGCAGTTGCTGGACAACATTAACAAGGGACCCAGCTCGATAACAAACAACACTGGATGTCTCCCATAGGTGCAGCTCTTTATATAAACTGCATAGTCACTACCACACCCCATGAGGTAAGCCCAAGGTGCGCTGATGAAAAAATCTAAAGCAGCACAGGGGAAGCTTACAGAAAAAGGGTGTTAACATCGTACATCTGTTAAGTCTGTATATGATCATGCAGATCTTCTGTAGAGTGTGTTGAAAATAAAAGTCAAAAGACAGTACTTAAACAAGCTGCACCTTTATTTGAAGTTTACAGTTTTGAGGAGAAAGTGCTGATTATTTGTGGAGAATGAGCCGATCTTACAAGCTGTGAGCTGACAGACCAGTGGGCGGTGGTCTTCAGATGCACTCATGATGATCGATTGAGAACCAGTTTGAATTACCCGTGAGATTCTAATAAGGAAAGAGGAGGTCGCTGTAGAGAGTTTCCCTTCATGCTAAAAAAAAAAAGTAGGCTGCACTACTTTGCAGTGCCATTGAACATACAAATTAAACTGATAATCACATGAGAAATAAAGAAACAAAAATGCCAAAAAACAAAGTCAAGCAGTAATTCAAAAAATTCCAGGCAATAAGGTTGTAGGATAATTCAAGCAAGTGCCTTTAAAACCCTTCTTGCAACAGCTTCTCCCAGTCTCAGTCCCTACAAAGTAGGCACCTCCAGGCATGGATTCATCATACCCCAACCTTTAAGTTTATGGCTGGGGCAATCATTAACGGCCCTGAAGCACCACGATGAGAACAGAGAGGGGAGCCCGAGGGCAGAGAAGAGTTTGACGATCTGCATCACACAAAGCAAAAAGTTGTCATATTGCATCTTTTTTTTTGTTGCTGTCGTACAAAGTGTGGTGTCTATCCCTGGCCGTTTCAAAGAATGGAGTTAGGCCAGAGGTGGTGCTGGCAGTGTACAGTCGCACAGGCTTGTGTGGATGCCGTCGATGGTAAAAGGCAGGACAGAGATGTTTACATGATAGTGCATGGCGCCTTGCTTTTGGTGATCTTTTGCACGGGTTTCCCAGCGCAGGCATCCTCCAATGCATTTCTTATCTGTAGCAGGTAAGAAAGACACAAACATGAAACCATTATGATCAGACACTTCAGCACTCTTCATAAAGATGGGTTTTAATCAAAAAATAGAAGTATAGAAACAGGAAGTAGAAGTATAAAGGAAAGCACACATTGAGAAACACATGTTTAAGAGGGATTTAAATGGGCGGGGGGGGGAAGTGATGTCCAGTTTCATCTCAGCAACACTGTTCTTTCCAGAGACCTTATGTCGATATCATTTACATGTTATGGACAGTTTAAATGCGTTTAAAGCCAGAAGGGGACTCACATCATCCTCGTGAGGGAAGCCACCCAACTCCAACTTGGAGAAGATCAGCTGCCCGTTGACTTCAATCTCAAAGCTGCCTGCAAAGTGGAACAAATGTGAGAAGTTCACCTCCACGCTGACTCCATGAGCTTGATCAGAAACACAGTACACAGTGGTTCCCCGCTTCAAAGCAAAGTAAAGGCTTGCTCAGTTGTTGCATTACTTGCCTGATCTTCCCACAAAGCCCGACACCACCGCCTCAGGAAACTCATCCTTGATACCCCTGGCGAGTTCCCTATAGCGGGGTTCGTATCCTCATGCTCCACTGCAGGGACACAAAGCAGGAGTTTATATAAAATGATTATCAAGGTTACACTGATCTCCTAAGAGTTAGTACCAGTTATGAACTTAAAAAAGTATGAATGTGTGGGTGTGGGTGAGATGTGCATGGATTGTGTGCATGTGCATGGATTGTGTGCGTGTGCATGGATTGTGTGCGTGTGCATGTGTACATATCTTATATATTTTCGTGCTGCAGCTGGATTGCTCCTGCAGAGTTTCGTTGTGTAAAATGCAATGACAATAAATAGCCATCAGTTTGCTCACCACGCTGAGTAAGCCTAGCTGTAAGCTAAAGATGCTAACGTTAGCTATGTTGGTTTAAAGCAGGTTAAATACACAAAACTCATGACGTTGAGCTTGAAACATTACACTGATGAAGATGGTGCGTAGAATAAAAGTGTGTACTTACCAGTATTCAACTCGTATTGTGACCCCCATAGTCGTTTTCTGGTTTTGTTCCTCTGCAGGCAGATAAAGTCAGCTCAGTGTGTGAGTCAGTGTGTTCGCTGGTTTTATAAGACTGAGCAGCTGAGCGGGGCGGAGTCTGTGTGACAAAATCCATAGACTGTAAATATTACAAAACAAAGGCGGCGGCAGCTGGGAGGGAAAAAAAACAAAAAAAAAATCAGACCCGGAAACAAAAAAAAACAAACAAAACAAAAAATGTTTATTGACAATCTGTAGCGATGGGGTGTAACGTGTAATAAATAAAAAAATAACAAATATGCTTTCTTTTACCTAGGCTACCTGATTTTTGTTTTGTCAAGCAAGGTCTCAATAGTTAAAAAAAACAAAACTGTGGCCCATCTTGTGCTCTAATTTTATAAGCCCAATTGTGATAAACTTAGAAGATTAAGTATACTTAAATGTCTTTCTTTTTCGCTTCTCCATGTCACAGACGGTTGGAAAACAAGGGAGGTGGAACTAAAAAGTGCAAAAACCAAAAATATTTAATTAAACAAAAAGGCCAAAGGCAACAAAACTTGATTTTTAAAAGTTCAACAAAAAACACAGGGATCAAAAACAGGGAGCCACAGAGGAGCACGAGCAAAACTGACATTCATACCACATACGATGAACTGACACAGAAAGGCAGAAACACAGGTGAGACTAATGACACAGGTGAAGACAATGAGAGCAATCAACACTGGAGGGAAACACACACAGAGGAAGGAATGGACACAACACTGAGGACAACTACAAAATAAAATACATGAAACACTGAAGACACACAGAACTCAAGAATGAAACGAAACACACTAGAACATAAAGAAACACTAGGATATGAAGTTACAAAAATAACACATGAAACACTAACCTAGAAAACACACAAGGGAAACAACACCATCAGACAAGAATGAGAACTAAAAACAAGAAAACCTAAACTGTGAAAATAAGAAACCAAATCATGACACTCCAAGCTGAACAAAGGGCTGCTTTGTCTTTTCTTTCTTTCTTTCTTTGACTTGTATTTATTGTCTCAACATTTCCTAAATATTTTTGATGTGTGCGATAGTTTTCCCCCTTTTGCTACTTACTTATTATAAGAATAATTCTGTGTAGCATTATAATATAATCTTTTCTATAACAGATACTCTTGTATCCATAATCTGAGGAAAAATTGAGACCATTTGATTGATTTTGACATGATATTTTGGAATTATTTTGTGCACATTTTTCACAGGATAACAATTATAAACACTGCCCACAGTCTTCTGTTTCTTGAACTTTGGACCTGCTGCAGAGAGGTGTGGTTCTTACTCTTCACTTCATGCCAGTCTGGTTACTCATTACAGACAACCTTCAGACTCATAAAAACAAAAAAACACTAACTTCTGCTATCAATCTGTGTCCACATTTCTCACCAAGAAAGCAGAAACACGGACATTAACATTGACATGTGAATAAAAAATGTTAGTTTTTTTTAATCTTCCAGCTTATACAGGATGGCAACCAGCAATGTGTCGACATGTAAGTTTTGCCACACCTTTCGTGTCGATTGTTTTTATTTGAAGATTTTGAAACAACTTCCTTCTTTGTAATGGTAATGTATCTACTGTATTGTGTTATATCTTAAATGAGTTTTACATATAAATATTGTATTTTCTTTCTATTTAGATCCATACTCTTACCCTTTTATTGTCTATTTTTATTACTTATTTGCAATGGAGATACTTGTTTTTATAGATCCTCTATTGATTTTATTTTAGTGTCACATAATCTGAGATACAAAGATTTAAGGTGGTATCATTTTCCGTTTAGAATATATATGCACAAGAAAAAACGGAATCACGTGTGAACTTTTGTATACTTTGGTCTTGGTCTTGTGGTCTTGTATATTTTTAGTGCTGCAACTAAAATGATGTGGCCAATCATATTTAGAGTAGAACTATGTCACATAAGAAGTGCTCGTTTTGTCGACATAGCAGAAAAATTAAACGGTTTTAATAAATAAATAATAAGAAAAAAAAATTAAAAAAGAAAATATATCCCTATATTTCATTTCAGAATGCGTGTTGCTTTTTAAAGAAAAGATATATGAATGTCTTAACACTTAAACAGATCTGAATGCAGACAGCTTGAAGTGATGACATAATGTGCAATGATTAAAAACATGCTGCATTGTAGTTAAAAGCATTTACAATATATGGTAAGACAACAATATAGGAGGACAAAGTCTAAATAGCAGGTGATACAGAAGCAGTAAGCTATAAAGTCGTCCTGTAAGAAAGCCTCTGTGTTGAAATTGAGCAGCTTATCAGTGTATCATTGTATACACTTAATACTGTTCTAATGGTATGTGAATATTTTCTCCTCACATAATATTTTGTGAAACCATTTGAACAGGAACTTTGACTGTCCCCCCTCTTTCCCCTCTGTGCATATGTCTTTTTCTTTGCCAGGGGACGGCTGGAGCACATCACAGTTAAAGATCATCCTCCTTGGTGGGAGAAACTCTAGTAAAAGGTGTGTGGGGAACCTGATCCTGGGCCATGAGGAGTTTGTCACCAAAGAGAGGACCTCGTGCTCCCGCAGGCTTGGTGTGGTGGAGGGGAGGTGGCTCACTGTGGTGGACACCCCCGGCTGGTGGTGCGACTTCAGTGCTCGGGACACACCCGAGCTGGTGAAGAGGGAGATTATCAGCAGCGTGTCTCTGTGCTCACCAGGCCCACATGTATTTCTGATTGTCATCAAGGCGAGCTCAGCCTTCTCGGAGAGGCGTCGCAGGGCTGTGGAGGAGCACGTGGGCCTGCTGGGTGAGAGCGTGTGGAGTTACTGCATGGTGGTGTTTACCTGCGCTGACAGGTCTGAACACACAGAAGCGTCACAGCTCGTGCGGGCGGGGGGAGACGCCCTCTGCTGGCTCAGTGACAAGTGCAGGAGCAGGTGCCACAGTGTTGTCCTGAGTGATGATGCTGAAACCACCAAACTGCTGGAGAAGATACAGGAAGCTGTGACAGAAAATGGAAACAGGGCGTTTGAAATGCGGGAAAAAGTTTTCCTCGCGGCTGCAGAGGAGAAGAGGCGAGTGGAGGAGATGGCCGAGGAGAGGTTTATGAGAGTGAAGAAACAAAGAGCTCTCATGAGAGGTGAGTTCATCTTTGAAAAGTGTCGCTTATTTTGGCTGCGAGAACCATCAATCATGCTTTTTCAGTCTTTCAATAGACATTGTGTCAGTCAGGTATAGTTGATGACATTTGAAGTGCCTGTGGCTAATGCAAACTACACTTACACTGAATATTTCATAGAAAAAGTAAGTGCTCTTGTTCAAAAAGGACATGACATGCGCATAAGCCCGTGTGCCAGGCTATGGAAGACAAAAACAATCATGCTTGAGATAAAAAAAAAGTTATTTTTGGGTCCCTTTTGCCTTTATAAGTTAAGACAGCTAAGAGAGACAGGATGCGTTGGGAGGAGAGAGTGGGGATGACATGCAGCAAAGGGCCAAGGTCAAATTTGAATCCACGACCACTTAGATGAGAACTATGACCTCAGTGCATGGACCGTGCGACCGTTTGGCTATATAATATTTCAAAATTCTGTTATCTTGAGATTTTCACCAAATTATGAATGTAAATCAAGATAAAAAGAAAACAAAGATGCCGTCTCAATAACTGTGACAGCTGATCTTAGTGGAAAATATCATTAATGAGTTGCATACATAAAGCATTAGACCATACTTAATTCATTGTTCAGTTATCAATCCTTCTTAACAGTAATGACAGCGATCTTCAAGGATGAAATTAGGCTTAATCAAATAAACACACCCTCTTTTAAGAAAATACCAACTAGATTATCCTGTGACCTTGAGTATCAAATTGTTTCTTTGTGCATTCATACGCCATGGCTATAAATTTCAATTTTTGAAACAAGGCTTAAAAAAATCCTACCAAAAACAAAAATGCCAGAGCAAATTTTTTTCCAAGTCCAGCACTGGAAAATAGACGGTATAGAGGTTTTTGATTGTAGTTTTCGGTAATTAAAAACCAACAATACCCAATATACTGCACCTAGGACTACTTTGTGATACAACCTTAAAACTAGATGAAACATTAATGATGACTTAAACTATGTGATGCACGACAATGACTGTATTGATCTTCCAACATGCAGAGCAGAGTTATCTATTCCCTCCTGTCTCCAGTCTTTATGCTAAGCGTTATGTATGTTGTATGTATGTATGTTATGTAAGTATTGAACTGCTAATGTGTCTTGCTGTTCCTTGACCTGCAAATCGTCTACTGTACGCTGGAAAATGTGTTAAATAGAAGCCAAATAAACACTTAGGTTACTAAAACTTTCTCACCCTGCTCTCTCTTTCCACTCTTACTCGCCCAGAGAGGCTACAGCCCGTTACTGATATTCGGATTGTTCTAATTGGAGCAAAGGGTTCTGGGAAAACTTCCACAATTAACACCATCCTGAATAGAGAGAGTGCAATGTCACAGAGGAGAACGGCCCAGTGCGTGGCCAGAACAGGGGTGGTGTTTGGGAGACAGTGACTGTGGTGGACACACCAGGCTGGTGGATGAACTACTTCAGTGATGAGACCCCCGTGTTCGACCAGAGGGAGATGGTGCTCAGTTTGTCCCTCTGCCCCCCGGGGCCTCACGTCTTCCTGCTGGTGATCCGCGTGGACAGGGCCTTCACCGAGACCTACAGAAGAGCAGCCGAGGAGCACCTCCAGCTGATCGACCGACGCATTTGGAGCCGTGTCATGGTGCTGTTTAGTTTCGGGGACTGGCTCGGTGACACGACTACCGAGCAGTGCATCGAGAGTGAGGGGAAGCCTCTGCGGTGGCTGGTGGAGAGATGCGGCGACAGGTATCACGTTCTGAATAATAAAACCAAAGGGGACGGGTATCAAATCAGAGAGCTGATTGGGAAGATTGAGGAGATGTTGGCAGGATGCGATGCCTCCCAGCACTGTGAAATAGAGAGGAGAGTGATGGAGCAGCTGGAGGGGAGGAGGAGGAGAGAGGAGGAGAGGGCCAAGGAGAGACTGAAGAGGAAGGAGAAACAAAGGCAGATGGGGAGGGCTAAGCTGGGTGAGTTTGATAGATTTAAAAGTCAATTATCTTTTTCTACTCCTTAAATGAAAAAATATTTAATCCAACTTTCCAGATGCACTTTTCTGTCAGAATCTTTGGACATACGTCAACAAAGAGTAGGTGTTTTCTTTTTTTCTAACATATTTATCATCTTCTTTCCATCAGAGAAGCTCACCCCTCTTTGGAGCTGAGATTAGTGCTCCTCGGAGGCAGGCAA